TAATAAATAAAACAAACAAAAAAAAAAAAAAATAGATGCGGTCAGTGGCATTAAGAGCCGGAAGATATTGTAATATCCCTAGTGAAGTTCACAGTATAGAATAGTACTATCATTTGATGATGACTAGAATATCGAAAGTTTAGCAAGTATCTGACTGTTTTTGGGATAGGAATTGGAATAGGAGGGATTTGAATGTGGATATGGAGGGGGAATGCCGAATTTTGATAGGTAGAGAATTCCAGAAATTGACAGCGCGTCCTATAAAGGAATTCTGAAATGAGGCAGATCTGTGCGATGGGATGTAGACGTCAGAAGGTCGGGATCTTGTTGAAAGGGAATGGACTGAGGACTTGAATTGGAGAAGGTTGTAGGCGTAAGAAGGACGATGGTTGTTAATGATTTGATAGAGGAAAGTACCTAGGAAATATTGTCTTCTAAAGGAGGGAAAGAGCCACCCTAACTCAGTGTAGTGGTGAGAGACATGGGAGTACCTCGAGGCACCGATAACAAATCTTACGCAGCTATTCATTAATGTTTTCAGCTATTTCTTATGTATACATATTAATAATTTGTTATATTTATTAGCTGTATATGCATTATAATTAGATTTATAATTATATTGTGATTGTTTAGTATTTAGGTTAGATCGGTCACATAAACAAATTGAATAAACAAACAAAAATCAGTAAAATACATAAACATAATAAACACATAAACAAATCAGTCAAATAAACAAAATAAATATTCTCTTCTTAAATATCCTCATCCAAACTGTAGTAATTGCTTCGGATTCCGTAAGTGCTCTAAAGAGTTTAGCAAACATATATTCCGATCATCCAGAAATTCAACGAATACTTGAAATAGGAAAATTTATGACTGATAACAAGAAATCAGTTATCTAGATATAGGTGGGCACCTGGATATGCTGGTATAAAAGGCAATGAAATGGCCGATGAAGAAGCAAAAGAAGCACTCTCGCTCCCAGGTCGTGGTAGAACCCTGCTAACACCATCAGATCCCTAACGGCCGCTTAATGAGAGTATCCAAAAGGGATGGGAGGACGTATGGGATAAGAGTGCTCCAAGCAAACTGAAACTAATAAATAAAGATGTCAGACCCTGGAGTTCTTCTAGTCCCAGCATTCGCAGAGAGGAATCCGTCCTTTCCCGGCTTAGGGTCGGACACTCAAGGTTGACCCTCCTCCTCATCACTAAAGTCTCACCACCTAGATGCCACTATTGAAGTAGTGCTCTGTTCATAACTCACATTTTCCAAGATTGTCAGTTTTATAGTCATAAATTAAATTACTTAGGAATATAACAAAATATATCACTAGCCTTAGGAAACGACAGCAATAGAACTGACAAAATAATAACATATCTAACAAGGGTAAATTAATGAAAGAGCCATAATAATAATTTCTATTTATCTTTTTCTTTTCTTTAATTTGTTTATATATATATATATATATATATATATATATATATATATATATATATACATATAATACATATAATATATATATATACATATATTAAGTAGCTTAATATATGTGCTAGTGAACGATGCTGAGACTATCGGTGTGTCCCTGGCCTGATCGAAGCTATCTATCTTTTAAAATTCTAGCTTTGAAGCGGATCCCATGGTTGACTAATAAAAAGAAAATACCGGGATCGAAACGTCAATAAACAGAAGAAATGAACATTCAATAGTTTATTAAATAATAACTAAGTGACCTTATTCCCAATTAAATAGTTAAGTGTAAATTTATATACATATACGTATATATATATATATATATATATATATATATATATATATATATATATATATATATTTATATATATATATAAGTTAAGTGTAATGGACTTGAAACAATTAAAAAAAAGGAATAGGTTCACGAAATGAAACACATGAAGTCGGAATCAAGACTGGTTTATTGTTCCTTATAATCCTCTATATATACATTCTGAGAATGTTTACATCAATGCTGTTGGTATTAACGCTAATACTGTCCCGCTCCGTACTTTAACTCCCTCCCACCAGTTTACGGATACTCCTCGTAAACTTAATACTAATAAAAATAAAAAGGAATAATATATATATATATATATATATATATATATATATATATATATATATATATATATATAATCTATATATATATAATATAATCTAATATAATTAAACACAAGACAAACAACAACAAAAAAAGTTCTATATATAAAAAACAAATAAAAATACACTTTTCTCTTTACATTTGTAACATCTATTAGATCCCTAAACGAAATACACTTCAGTGTTGCACTGAACATACATACACCAATTTATACTATACACAAATAAAAAAAAAATAACCTGTATAAATAAAATAAAATAAAAAAATGCTTGTTTTCGGAGACAAGGGTACTCCAATTCTACAGCTGCTCTGGCTCTGAAATTGAGAATTTTAACTGTTGTATGTAAACCGTCCTTCTTTTTTTCGGTTCTTTAATACTCTCAATGGTCATAACATTATGCTCCCTAATGATTATTACCCTGAATCGGCACTCATATCTCCTATTAGGGCCTAACAATGGACCCGATTTTTAATCTCCCTGTTATCTCCTTTACTTTTAAATTTTCCCTTAACTTTCTCCCATAGGTTGCCCAATTCTATTTTATTATTAATTATGCTCCCTGTCATTTCCTCGTCCGCAGCTGTGCCCCCACAGTCTCGTTGCCGCCCGCCTAATCCGAAGAGAATTTCAAATGGTGAGAACCCCGTTGCGGTATGTATGGAGTGATTATATGCTGCCACCGCCTTCCGCATTGCCATATCTGGTTCCACGCAAGCACCTATGAGTTCCGCTGTTGTCTTCTTCATTCCCCACCAAAAATATTTACACCGCAACGCCTGAAATGTCTCTTGCGCTCCGCGGTGATTCGTTTTGCCTTGGTGGTAAGCAAGCGTCACATCCTTCTGCCGTTCTTCGTCCCGCACTGTGTTTACCATCAATTTACAACGAATGAACGTTCTGTCTAGACCTATTCGTTCAGACCGCCATATTTTCTTTATTTTCTCCCAAATTGTTTCGTTCCCTACGTACAAGTGGTGAGTTTTCCTTGACTTGGAAGCGTCTTGCAGAGCTCTGCAAATCTGGTCTTCCCTCGCCCCTGGCTGTGTACTGTTACCGTACTTACCGTACTGTACATTCATTAGGCCCGACGTACTGGTCTTCCAGATGATCTGGCGGTTTTTGCCATTAATGATTTCCTCCAGCTCTTTCATTTCTGCTGACCTCTCTTCCGCTGGGTTCCCCTCTTTTTGGGAATCATTTCCATGCTTGTCTTCCTCTACAGCCGGTCCTCCCTCCCCCTCTGGCGCCCATTCCCCCAGGAATTGTCTCACGTCTCTCGAATATTTTCCTGCGTCCTCTTTGGCATTTATAGTTATCACTCTTGATAGCCAATCCGCTACCACGTTATCTTTCCCAGGTTCGTACACAATATCCATATTATACTGGTTCAGGAACTCCTTCCAGCGTGTGACTTTGGCCGAGGACTCAGCTTGTCTGTCCATTGTAGGGGTCTATGGTTGGAATTTCCTCCCAAAAACATAGGGTCTAAAATGGTTGATAGCCCATACGATCCAAAACAGTTCCCTTTCTAGCGCACTATATCTGGATTTAGCTTCCGTAAGCCGCCTGCTGGCATATGCTACGGGTCGATCCCCTCCATTTCCTTCTTGGGACAACACGGCCCCCAACGCGTATTTGCTGGCATCAGTTGTGATGGTAATAACTTTGAAAAATCAGGAAACGCTAACACTGGTTCTTCTTGCAGCCGGGCCATGCATTTCCGAATGTTGTCCTCTATTATTAGGGTTACTACCACTTTACTGTCTTTTTTAATAAATTGTTAAGGGGCACGAGGTATGCCGCCATTTCGGGCACAAATATTCTGTAATAGTTAAGAGTACCCAACAGCCTCCTGATCCCTTTTACAATCCGAGGTATTGCCATTCTCCTAATTGCCTCCACTTTTTTTGCATCTGGTTTGACCCCATTATCAAATTCTTTTATATTTTGTATTTAACTATCTTTTACATTAGAGATTAATGTGAAATGGTCAATTGTTTCAAATAAAAAAAATTAAAGGTACTTTAGGGAAGCTGATATTGAAAATTAGTCATTTAAGCCCTGTTAGAGAACACCAATCAGAATAAAAACTACATTTTATTTAAAACTGCTTAATTTTACACTGATATAATGAATTTAATCAAAACCGTTATAGCCGTTATCAAGAAAATGGTAAAAATGTGCACTTTAGTCAATGATATATAGCGCCACTTCCGGTTAGCCAAGTAGCATAATGACGAAAAAGTTGCTGCAACATCCCTAGTACATAAAAACCTTAAATATGGAATTTCACTTTCGTGAGACTTTTCGTTTTTGAGCTAGACTGTTAACACTCACACGAACACACGCGCACATACACACAGACCATTTTGCAAGACTTGGTTATTTAGACTTAGGGAACCTCAAAACGTGTATTTCCGTTAAAAACTGAGATTCGAAAATTTTCTCGATCACAATACTTTCCTTTACTAAATATTTCATAGATAGTTAAGTGAGTGTAAAAAAGAAACTTAATTGGACCAATATCAGCATAAAACAATTTTTGGACTTTGCACCCAAAGAGGTTATGGGAAATCGAGAGAGCAGAAACACTGGATACCCATATATATTATACATATGTAGGCAAGGAGATTCCATTTAACAAACTAGAAAAGAACAGCTCATTGCATTTATATTTTATACGAAGACAGTTATCATGAAATAATTACAAACAGATTCATTTAATTATTTAACAACTTCATAACCTATGTAGTTCATAACCTGCCAATGCAGTTATAATTAGTAAAAATACTTACTATCAATTTTAAATTTTTCAATATTTATTTTAAAAAATTTAAATTATGTTTTATACAATGTTATCCAATTTTTCTAATAGTTCGTCTGCCTTTCTTTTTTTAATTTTCAAAGGTTTATTTATTTTGATAAACATATCTAGTCAGCAATCATGGCGTCGGTTTTTCCCTTTAGCGGTTGTTAACGCAGTTGATTGTGTGAGCCGTTTAAATTTGTTTTATTTAAGTGTTTCGTGTTGTTCTGTTTTCAATTTTCATTATGGTAAGTTAAGAGTTTAAGTTTTTCCTGTTTTATTCTCTTTAGAATGGTTTTCCTCACGCAAAGTTTTGTTTTGTATACTAGTAAAGGTTATGTTTAATTGTAGAACTGATTTAAATGTTGTTGATGAACTTCGATGATTTTTTTAATTTATGAGATTAATTTCAATTAGGTATATCATTTGGTTTTGAAATATTTCTCTGTGGTGAAAAAACGGATTGTGTTTGCTCTCTTTTTGAGATAAACACCTAACTTGGGACTTGAAGAGAAAGGGGTTTGTTTAGGTTTAATGGGGAATAATTTGAAGGTTCGATTCAATTCATCCAAATGAAACTAAAATTCTTCATTTATTTTATGAAATTAAGTCCTTAATGGAAAGAAAGCTCAATTATCTTTGAAGTCAATATTGTTTGTCATTTAGGATATTTTCTATTACCTATCATTTTTGACATGTTTTATCTAGAAAGTGTCTCAATGTCTTTCCTAAGTTCAGTGTGATTTGTTGTTTGACATATAGTTTTCATTTTCTAGTCCTTAAAACTTATTTCTATATTAATTAGTTTGGATATATTTTGATATAAATGTGGAATTCTTTTATAGAACTGTTATCTCGTTGGTTAGTGTAGATCGTAGAGGGAGAGCGTGTGACCTCGGAGGGCTAATGATAACAATGTTTCTCGCCTATCGGGTTGACTTTCCAGTTAAGGATTGTTGTATTTAGTTTGGTGAAAGTTTATTAGGCATGAATTGGTAGGATTAACTTTTATTAATTTTAACAAATTTTCTGTACCAGGCTTAACTCAAGGTATTGTTTTTAAGTTGTACCTATCAAGTTCTTAAGATAAATAAATCCATTTTTAAAGAAAGTCTTTTACTTACATGTGTAAAGGACAACCGTTTTTGAGGTAATTGAATTAAATAAATAATCATTATGAATATTACAATATATAATACAATTCATGAAATGCCAATAGTAGGTGAGTATTGATAATTATGTTAGTATCAATATGACAAATGTGTCTGAATGGCGTATTCTGGCTTCAAATAAGCAGAAAAGTATTTACCAAAGAAATATTGAAAAAAACAAAACAATTTTCGTTATTAATTTTTATGTAATTTATAATTTAAATAGATTTAAGTTTGATTGTTGGTGTGGTTAAATATAAACACTGATTTTTGATTCTTAGTATCATAATTATAGGTTGTGCTTAATAATCCAAAAATACAGGGAATGTTAATTATCGTTGATGGAAAAAACAAAAATTATGTTTGGTACTAGTTCAGGAGAGTTCTGCACATATTTAGTGTGGTTCACAATTACTTCGATAGCACTTTTTCATGAAGTGCTGAAAACAGTTGAATATTGTATGCTGTTTCTGTTTAGTTGTTTGCATCTTACGCTGTATAACTGTACATGGATAAGGGTATACAAACATTTTAATAGAGAAAAAGTTATTTGTAACTAACTTAAGAAATCGGTCGCCTTTCTACTCTTATTTGTGATTATGTTGTTGGTGTCTCACACTGTGTAACTGTACATGGATAAGAGTATGCAAGCATTTTAATGTAGGAAAAGTCATTTGTAACTAACTCAAGAGATCAGTCAACTTCGTACTCTCACATATAAACCCAGATACTTTCGGTATTCCATGGACAAGTGTGACCGAAATGATTATGAACCATCTCTAATTTGTGTGGAACTCTTCTGAATCAGTACTTTATGGAAAGAATCGTAAGTTTTGATGAAGAGCTGATAAACATTTTGATATTATTCTTCATGCTGTTATTTATACTTGATGAAAAGAAGTGACCTTGATGGGGACTTAAACTGATTCAACCTAACCAATCATTAACAACTTGCTATGAACGGTTGATGATCGGTTGTCTACATCTACTTTTGGTTACAATCTGGTCATTTTAATTGTTTATTTAAAGTGTTAGTGGTATTAATAATTTATAAAATTACCTTTAATATATTCAATATATTGTTTAAAGTGTGACAAATATAAATGTTTTAATCACTAATTCTGTTTATAGGTTATTCCAGTATCCAAGCCGAAAGTTTCTTCATCAGAGAAAAAGTATCGTCAAGAATTATTTCCAGGTGTGTGTAATAGATCAAGCAATTCTTATTGTTTTAGCTGTAGAATTTCTAAGCTTTGTAAAAACTTGTATTCAAAATTGAGTGATTATAAATATTGACTATCCTTATGCATATTTATATACAAAGTAGAGGGTCAGTAGTTATCGCATTTACATGCTTCAATGCCATATTCATCATTAGTTGTTAAATATGATTGACTTTGTTGCAATTGCACTTGTGCAGTGCTAATTATGGATGATAGAAAGATGCAGTAGTAACATTAGAGAAGTTGAGAAATTTTGGTAGAAGAACTTAGTTTCAATTGCAATTTATTTTTATCACTGAACAGCATGGATTTCCAAAACTACACCTGTTTAGCTCCATATATTTTGAAGTATTATTCTGAAGACAAAATGAAAAGAAACAATTACCCTATCTCTGAGGTTGGCTTTAACACTGTTTCTTTTGAAGTAATATACTGTAACATCTCTCTTATATTTGACAAATAATAATAATATATCCTTGGAAGCTCACTTCTTACCATTGGGATACTTCCTAAATAAATAAGAGGTTTTTTAATAATAAACAGAATTATAAGAGAATCAGATTTATTTATTTTAGGTGTGGGTTACTTATTTATATTAAAATTAAGCACTGGTTTAAAAATTCATTACAAAATGAAAATTTTAAAAATTAAAAAACGCTGAAAAAACAATATAAACTTAATTAGAAATAAATCAGTAAATAATTCTAAAATAGTGGAAAACCAATAGAACTTCCTAGACTTTTGGGTATGCCCCAGAATTTGCCATATATAGGAGCTAAACATTTTTTAATGATTAGCTTATTCCTCTAATTTGGCTCTGGGTCCAAACATTGCATAAAATGACCCATTAAAACATTTTACGATCTATAAAAATGAGTGATTGTTCTCATGCTCTAAATTAGAAATTTGATTAAATAGTTGGAAGGAATGCAAGCAAATAAGCATTTGAATTTTGGTATTAGAATACTTTTACAAATTAGATGCTAGATTATCTTTTTATATTTAGCATTTCTTTGCGTGGTCATAAAGGTAATTTTTTCTCAATTTTCGTTTTTATTTTGATGTGATTTATGATATCTATAAAGTTGCATTAACTTTCAAACTTTTCTGTCAGCTCAATACTTATTTTATGTTTTAATTGGCCCTAAACTTTATAATCAATACCAAATACTTATGGATCCAGTAAAAAATAAGTTATGGAATAGTTGAACTAAACTTCAGCATTATAATATAAATCTTGAATAATGTGATGGAACTTGCTTTATATTTGCCATCCAGTAAAATTAGATGCATTATTTAGTAATACAATAGTGTTCTGATATATCTATTATCTTTTTTTTTTCAGATGTAAGGGAAATTAAAAATAAAAATTTATTATGTACGTCTTGCGGCAGCTCAGTGAAAGATTTGATTACCAAGGGTAAACCTATTGTACATCCCTTTTTAGAGACACTTCTTTGTGAGGTAAATATATAAATACTTATATATAAGTGTGTGTGTTTCTTTCCTGCAGCGACATTTTTATAGTTAAAAAATGCAAAAATCACTTGCAAGTGAACACTATTTTAATTATAGAAATTGTTGATTAATTAAAGTAAAACGGAAACTAACCTGTCAAATTGTTTTCATTATTGCATCATAAATACTTTTGTTCTTAATTATTTTATCTTTTGTAATTAAAATTATAAATCAGACATTCAATAAAATGGTTGATCATGTTTTTTGAATCTCTACGGCGTTCTTATGAGATATTAAAAAATGTAATTTAATTTTTTTGGTTTATCGTCAAACTAAAATTGATATCTTCTACGTTTATTTCATAATTTGTATTTCTTGTTACTTTTAGTTGGTCATATTTTATTTTAGCAGCTGCTCCGTAAACTTAATTTGTTTATTTTCTTAATTAAGATGACATATCAGCAATATACATACAGTCTGTTATCTACAATAATAACTTAATAAATAATATTTATCTTTTATTTTATGGCTTTCATAGTTATCTTTTAGGCTATATTTGATAAATTGTTCTCCTGTTTGCAGAAATGTCTTTCATTCTATGGAGATGGGCAGTTTTCTGTTGATGAGGATGGGAGTGACAAGTACTGCAGATGGTGCGGCCAAGGTGGAACTCTTTTCCTCTGCTCGAAGTGTACCTCAGGATTCTGCAAGGTGTGTTAGTTAATTACCTGTGAACTGTTAATATATAAATAAAATTGTGTTTAAAAAAAATTAATGTGTAATATGTTAGTTGGAAAAGAAATTCAAATTTTTGTACAGAAATGTCATTTATGAATGGTTACAGACTTCAATGAATATAAGTAATAATTTTTATAACTCATCTACTAAATATTTTAGAGGGGTTCCTTAGCTCATTCCCACTGTATGTCATTCTAGACTATGAACTACCTACCATTTCATTTAACGGAAGGGCTTAGAGCTAGTAACCATTTTAAATTCAAGATAAATCATATCTGACTGACGATGTGCGTTTTGAAAACTGACATGTCAAAGTCATCAAATTAGGCTAGTTATGTAAGGAAAAAATTTAAATAGTCGGTTTCTCTTAGGTTTTTTATGTTTTTTGGGATGCTGAATCTGAATTTGATGTCCCGAACGAAATTTTCCATTGTGTTCCGATATATGCAAAATATCTGGTATGGTGTGGGCATCATACAACTTTCACTTACCACCCTCTTAGCAGAAAAAGTATTTTCAGACAAAGAGGAAGTGGAAGTAAATATTATTTATAGACACTATATTTATTTAAATTTCATTGGGGTTATTTTTATCTGTATAAGTACCCTTATGTGTACAAATTTTAATATTTATGTCGCTGTAATCTATGGAAGCATCTAATCTTTCGGGCGAGCTTGTATTCCTTTGGTTCCTCAATCACAACTATTTTCCGTTACGATCTCTTATTTCTCCTTTAGTTAATTATCAAATTCTTTCATATTTTATATTAGAGATTAATGTGAAATGGTCAATTCTTTTAGTTTTAAAAAAATGAAGGTACTTCAGGGGAAACTAATATTGCATATTAGCCATTTAAGCCCTGTTTAAGAACATCAACCCGAATAAAAATTACATTTTATTTAAAACTGCTAATTTTACACTGATATGATGAATTTAATCAAAATCGTTGGAGCCGTTTTCGAGAAAATCGTAAAAATGTGTTTAGTCCATTATGTAAAGTGCCACTTCCGGTTAGCCGATTTTGACAAAAAAGTTGCTGTAACATCCCTAGCATACAAAAACCTTAAATATGCAATTTCACTTTTGTACGTCTTTTCGTTTTTGAGCTAGACTGTTAATACAAACACACACATCGTGAAAGCGGCTACTCAATGCTACAAGGGAGCATCGGTTGGAAGCCGTTCCTAGCGACAAAGCCTTAACCAGCCTTCAACCTAACTCCCTGGACCAGGTAAGACCAGGAGTATGCGGGCACACAACCGGCGCCCACGGAACGGACATTTCTCTACTACCATAACTTCCGTCCACTCGTCCGCACACTATACTAGATGACTAGCCTGAACAACGTCAAGACTAGCGGAACACTGGTTTCATGCAGCGAGTAATCGTAAACACAACGACCGCCCCGGCCGAACAGTGCAAGCACCCATGCGCCGCCAGGGCTCCGGCGACGCCCCAATTCAGCCGGAAAGTACTGCTTCCCTGACCTCAGAGCACGATTGGTCTCAGGCTCCGCAATCTTATGATCGCTACGGCTTTACATCGACTGCCGATGTACAGGAGGATGCCTGCACCTCCGCAGTCAATGAGGGGCACGACTCAACCCTAAGGGTTCGAGACGATGACTGTCCCCGGACCAACACACACAGAGACCATTTTGTGGGACTTGGTTGTTTGGATTCAGGGGACCTTAAAACATTTATTTCTGTTGAAAACTGAGAATCGAAAATTTTCACGGTCGGAATACTTCACTTTATATTTCATACATAAGTAAGTGAAAGTAAAAACAACGAAATTTGTGAACTTTTTTTTTATTTTTCGGACATGACTTTGAAACTATGCATTTTATCGAAATTATTATCATATACCAAGTTGAAGTAGATAAAATTTACTATCAATTTTATACGCAGTTTTTTTATGTACGCCCAACGAGTGAGAAGTTAAAGAATGTTGACTGTTTGCTTATTTCACAAGGAATATCTGTTTTCTCCATAAATTCATAATTTCTGCATTTCTCGAAGAAATTCCTTATAATCAATTTGAAAGAGTGTTAAATTTTCTATGTACTTCATGTAGACAGGTATAATGTGAGAGGGTTGAGCGCATGGAATTAAAGTCGTATTTCACTTGTAATATCTGCCGCTCTCAACTTACTTTCTTTTTATCTTTTCAATGAGTTTGATTCAGCAAATTTAACTATATTTAATTCATCCTGTTATACATACAGTGAAATTAGCCTAATCAAAAGCATTGAAAAGATAAAAAGTACTTAAGTTGGGAGCGGCAGATACTGCGAATGAAATATGGCTTCGATACGAAGATAAAAAGTTGAGAGCGGCAGATAGATACTGTTGAATCTAGGATCCTATTGATTAGGACAAAAGATAGAACAAGTCTTGGATTTATGACTATATTTATTTTGAACACAACTTATATATATTATGTACAATCAGGTGCGACATAAGTACAATACAACGGAATGGAACAATGACCCTTATAACAATGTATAAGGTTACACATAAACATGGTCGAGACAGTGTTGCCACAGATCCACAAATAAAATTCCAACATCCTCCCTATTTGCGGATTCCTTGGCACTTGATACGCTTGCTGAACCTGTCTAATCTAGCGCCTTAGTCAAAGAATAGGCAACCCTCTTCTTGGTGGGTATGTATGTGAAAGAGAGAAGCTTCGCCTGCAATTTTTCTCTCATAAAATGGTGTCGTACGTTGACGTGCTTGGTCCTTGGTTGATAACCACCATTTAATGTCAGATTTCTTGTTCCCTGATTGTCACAGAAGATCTGAGTAGGACTATTCGAAGTTTGCTTAATCTCTTCAGATAGAATTCTCAAACATAAAGCTTCCTGTGCTGCTGAAGACATTGCCATATATTCGTCCTCTGTTGTTGAAAGTGCTACAGTAGGCTACCATTTAGTGCACCAGGATATCAAGGCCACATTTGATGAAAATATAGCCTGTTACTGACCGTCTTTCATCTGGCTCACAATATCTGTAAATTGGTCCAGTTTTCAATCCATCAAATTTTAATTTATATGAAGAAGTTTCACTGAGGTATCTGAGTATCCGTTTTATATCTGCCCAGTGTTTCATGTCTGGATTATTTGTAAATCTACTCAGACAGTTTACAGCAAATGTAATATCAGGCCTGAAAATTTGGGCTGCGAATAAGAGGCTGCCAATAGCTTCTTGGTATGGGATTTCCTTCATATTATCCCTTTCTCTTTCTAGTAGCTCTTGAATTTCGGAAAAATTTTCACCATTGGACATTGAAGTGGAAACTGGATTTGCTTCATCTATACTAAACTGTTATAGAATCTGCTCAATATAATTCTGCTGACTAAGCCAAATTTTCTTTGATTGTCGGTCAAAGGTTAGTTGAAGTCCTAAAAATGCTTTGGCCTCACCAAGATCGGTCATCTTAAATGATCTTGGAGTTGTAACTTGACCTGATTTTTTATTGTTCGAAAAAATAAGCAGTTCATCCACCACCCAGACAGCTACTATTATAATATATTTTCCTGTTATTTTGAAATAAACACAAGAGTCAAATTTTGATTGAGTCAAACCAAACCTCTGTAAAACTGCATCTAATTTTTGATTCCATATATGCTCTTTCGAAGTCGACACACTTTTGAAGTTCCATTGCTTAAACCAGGTGGCTGGGACATGTAAATTTCTTCCTCCAGGTCTCCCTGAATGAATGCAGATACTGCATCCACCTGATCAATGTCCAGATTGTGCTCTGCAGCCAGCGATATAAGATATCTGATGGAGCTATACTTGACAACTGGCGAGAATGTTTCTTCATAATCCACTCCCCTTTTTGGGGAATCCCTTCACAACAAGGGTTTCTCTCGCTTTGTGACCTGTTATTTTATCACTGGCTATCCCTCTTCGTTCTGAAGACCAACTTGCATGCGAGGGATTGTTTTGAAGGGAGTTCAACCAATTCCCAGGTTCTGTTGTCCATTTGGGCCTTCAATTCATGCTCCATAGCATCAGTCCACAACTGATTGTCATGACGAAGCAAGGTAGCATCATAGAACCTTGGATCTGACATCTCTGACCCAGTTAAGAAAGCTGAATAAGTTACAAAGTCGCCCAGTGTAACTTGTGGTCGCCTGTTTCTCTCAGGTCAGGTCGATGTTGTTTGTCCTGTTGGTGTCAAAACAGTCGTTGGCGGAACAAAATCCGGGTCATCTCGGTTGCAGACGTTGGGAAGTGCATAGAAGTTTCTATTGATATCTTCGGAAGTGTTTTTCAGTAATAACCTGTTCCACTTATTTTCAAGGAATGTTACATCTCTTGATACAAAGGTAATTTTCTTCTGAGGGTCATACAACTGGTATCCTTTTGTGTCTTGACAATATCCTACAAATATGTAAGGTGTAGATCTGGGGCTGAGTTTAGTTTCCTTTGGTGTAGGAAGGTGAGTATATGCCTTACAGTCAAAAATTTGAAGATATTAAAGAGATGGTTTCTTAGCTGTCCATACTTGTTCTGGAATTGTAACAACAGACTTGTACAGTGACCTGTTCAACAGATAAGTAGCACAGTTTACAGCTTCCGCCCAAAAAATGGTTGGGAGTCCTGACACAATCAGTAGACATGTTGCATGATCTAACAGAGAACGGTTAAGGCGCTTCGCCTTTCCATCTGTGGCGAGCAAGGACAGGATGTCTGATGCACTTCAAAAACTCACTTAATTTTTATTGCTGTACTCTCCTCCATTGTCAGTACGTAGAATTTTAATTTTACTGTCAGGCTGATTTTCAACTAGCGATTTGAAAATTTTGAAATAAACGGTGACTTGATCCTTTGATTTCAAGAAATAAACGAATGACTTGCGATTGAAGTCATCTAAAAATGTCAACAAACATCTGGAACCAGCTAAACTGTTTACCTCCATCGGTCCTACTAGGTCTGAGTGCACTTATTGTAAACAGTGTTCAGTAGTGGAGTCACTCTTGGGAAAAGGCTGTTGTAGTTAAAATGCACCATGCGCTGATGCTACAGTTTCATCTCGCATTTAGCTGATTATGCATACACAGAATTAGAAGGAATGTCTAATTTGAATAAATTGTTTACCAAAACACAGAATTAGCAGGAATGTCTAATTTGAATAAATTGTTTACCAAACTGGCAGAGGCAATTAGTTGTCTCTGGCTATTGAGTATTTTTGCTCCGTTGCTATTGAACACCACATAATGTTTTTTACTTACAATTTGACTACTCTAGTTGTGGAACATAACATACATTGATAACATTTATTTTTGAGGGATTGTTACTTGAAATCGTCACTGGTAATGAAATATCTCCGACAGTATCTGACGTCATTCTCTCATTGTTAGCGGCAGTGGTAGGTATTTTTTCAGACTTTCTCGAATTTGTCAACATTTCATGGCTTTTACAGAGGTGAGAAGACGCACCACTGTCGAGAAAAAAAATTCAGAATTATCGGAGGATCATGTAGAAAATGCATGCTTGTTTGGCATGGTCGTGTTTTGAATGTGAATGTAATTTACCGGTTCAGCCAATAGAATTAACTTGGAACGGCATTTCGTGTCTTTCTTCTTGTCGGTATCCGTTTTTGTTGTTATACATTCCCACAACTCTAAATCTTCTATATAGGCCTGCACTGCGAATTTTCATGCGTGGAAATTTTCTCATCCCTTTAGACATTCAACCGGCAACGACTGGTGCTGAGACATGGTGGGTTCGCGAAACGAAAAATAACGGTTTTGATGAAATTCATGAAATCTCGTTCACTGGGCCCATAACCTGGGCGACCTGTTGAATATAGGATTCTATTCTATAGGACAAAAGATGAAACAGGTCATGGATTTATAACTATATTTATTTTGAACACAACTTTCATATATTATGTACAATCAGGTGTGACATAAGTACAGTACAACGGAACTGAACAATGACCCGAATAACAATGTTTAAGGTTACACATAAATGTGGTCGTGACACTGTTGCCACTGATCCACAATTAAAATGTCCAACAGATACTACGAGTGGAATATGGCTTCGATTCCATGCGCTTAACCCTCTCACATTATACGTGTCTACATGAGGTACATAGGAAATATAATGCTCTTTCAAATTGATTATAACGAATTTCTTCGAGAGATGCATAGATTATGAGTTGGGAAAAAGAGATATTTCTTGTGAAATAAGCAAATAGTCAACATTCTCTAACTCCTGATTCGTTGGGCGTACATTAAAAAGCTACGTATGAAATTGATAGTAAATTTTATCTACTTCAATTTTTTATAGGATAATAATTTCGATAAAATGCATAGTTTTAGAGTCATTTCTGAAAAGCAATAAAAAGTAAGGAAATTTTGTTGTTTTTTGCATATATCTTGGAACACAATGGAAAATTTTGTTTGAGAATGTCAAATTCACATTCAACATCCCAAAAAAACAAAAAACTCAAGAGAAACCGACTATTTGAATTTTTTCTTCATCCGACTGGCCTGATTTTGATATGTCTGTTTTAAAAATGCAACTGAGCACGTCGTCAGTCAAGTTTGTGTGTTCAGATATGATTTATCTTGAATTTAAAATTTTTATTAGCTTTAAGTCCTTCCAGTAAATGATATGGTCGATAGCCCTGGTCTATTGTGGTAAATTGTTCTCAATTACTTTACGGGGTCTGACATATTTTCAGTATAGGTGAGCCAGTGGCTAATGAAGTAATGATAAAATTCTAATTCTAAATCATATTTTCTCTATTTACAAAATTATTAAATCTTTAATATTTTATTATTTTCCTACAATTAATTGCCTTATTTGTATATTTATTTTCAAACTTAGTTGTATTACAATTTACCTATTTTCCATTTTTATCGCCATTCATAAGATACTCAAATTCACTTTCATTGACTAGGTTCTAGAAATTACAATGTTGTAATACATGAAAATCTCAATTGATTTTTCAGTAAAAATTTGCAATGATATATCATACTTTAAAAGGTGACTAGTATGTCAAATTTCTTCTTAAATTCAAGTATGTATTTTAAGTCTTATAAATACATAATAAACATGTAAGTGTTGTTACCTTTATCTACCCGCATCAATTAAGATAATACTGTAAATGTATAAAGGCACTCCCTCTAGTGACATTTAATACATTATTATATTCTTGGACAATACATGTGAGGCAAAATATTGCACATTTACAATATAATACACATATAATCAGTATAAGGTGGTTGTCTAAAATTGTCTCAAAGTTTGCCCTTTGCTATTGTAATTAAAATCAAAATTAGTTTAGTTTTCATGTTCCGTTAAACTGTGCAATATTTTCTTTGTTGACAGTAATTGGATTTGTAGAAATTTACAATGAAACAACATACGATTGTATTTGTGAAATGATTTGTTTTCCTTATTAGAGGTGTGTGAAGAGAAACCTTCCGAAAAGTGCCCAAGCAAAGATTGAAGATGATGACTGGGTATGTTACTGTTGCGATACTGGTCCTCTCTATGAGCTGCGAGCTCAGTGCTGGGCTGCTCAGCAATATGCAGCTGAACATGTTAAGGTGGGTTCTTTTTTAATGTATTAGTAACTATTTTGATTGATCATTTTGTGATGTACCTAAATTAATCACTAACAAATTTTTTTTCACTCACTATCCACTTTTCCTCTTATACCACCATTGTTAATGGACTCAAATTATTTTTCATTCATAGACTCCGATAATCACCAATAGATGGAAATCTTAATTAGTTCATTTGTGAACATTTTCAGTGTTTTTTAATACTTTAAGAAGTAACTAAAATGTCAAATGTTTTCCTTGTAAATTTAAGTACGTATTTGTTATAAATCTCTGGTCTCTGTATTACTAGTTAAGTAGACTTATTCTAAAAGTACTAGAGATTAACTCTAGTAAAGTTACCAAATTTAACCAATGGCCTAAGAGTTCAAAATTTAAACAATGATTGACTTAAAGCAACGTGAGGATAATTCGACTTAACTAGTTATGCCCAGAGACCAGAGAAATGTGCCTTATCTTTAACGTGTAAATTTATTTTCCATATCTGCTCTTAGTAGTCATTGTTCATGTATTTGCTTAACGTAAGGAAAAGTATTGTGAGTGGCTATATTAGTCCTAACTTGTTGACTATCCTTTTTTGCTCTATTTATATTTTCATTACTCATCATTATTTAATTCATCTTTTTTTAGAATAAAGGAAGTTCCAAGGTGAAGAAAGGTTCTAAGGAGAGTTCTAAAAGATCTCGCAATTCAGATAGCAGTGAAACAGAAGAACCTGTTCCTAGCAAAAAGAAGCGAAAAGAAGAATTGAAAGGGAAAAATGATAAAAAGCGAAGAAATGGTGACGAAAAGGAAGATAGTGGAGGGCGATCGCTGAGGAAGAGAGAGAGTAAAAGTTTAAAAAATGATTCAGGTAGTGAATCTGATGATCAGACTGAAAATTCTAAAAAAACTCTCCCTTCTGGCGTCAGCGTGGATAGGATTCATGCAGCATTAAACAAGTTGACAAGCTTTGTTGCGGATATTGCTGGCATGACTAAGGAGACCCACAAGAAGCTTCTTGAGTGTAAAAATAAAAAGATTAATTTGAAAAACATAAATTCTTCGGAATCTGTTGTAGATATACATAGTAAGTTGAGCGCTATGTTGGTAACGCTGGAATCTAATGTGCGAATAGTAAGAAAGGGGCTCGAAGAATATGTTGAAGAATGGTGTAAAATGGTAGAAGAGGATCGAAAAATCAAAGGAGAGAATGAAGGGGCAGAGGCTAAAATTAAGGTAGATGATTCTGAGAGGTTAGAGAATGGGATTCCCAGTGATAACAACCAAACTAAGGAGGCATCTGCAGAACCAGAACCGGAAGTAAGTACTTAAACCATTCATTTAGCTAATTTTATCGTAAGATATGTCACTATTTAACAATGTATCAAATGGGTAAAATGATTTGGTGATCTAATCACTGAAACATTAGTGCGTCGAGATTTTTTGTATGTATTTCCTAGAATTTGTATGTGGTCTGTTTGAGGAAAGTTTAACACCCAAAAATTATGGTATATGAAAATAGATTTATGTGGTCATGACATCATTATGTTATACAACCTGGGTAGGGAGAATAGGTTACCCTACAAATTATCATCCTATGGTAGACATGGTGGGAAGGTCAGGCTTATTCTGTTGGGCCCAACTGAAAATAAATTTCAACCCATATAGGTCAGATTGGAATCAGCAACGCATAGCAATGATGTCATGCATACAGATGAAGAAATTGTTTTTGAGAAATGAATAATTCATATCACAGTATTTTGAATTAAATCCAATGTTACAAGTTCCATATAAACATAGTTTTTGTACTATAATATGAACTTATATGTCTTCTTTGTTAATTGATAATAATTAGTCATGTAGGAGAACTTTACCTGTGCCTCAAACTTGAAAATGCAAGATTTATGGGGCTGGTCCATGACCCATGCCTGTGTTGCCCAAATTTCTGTCTGGCTGTATTGGAGAATTTTTTCTCAAAATCAGTTATTCATTAATCTATAAAAGTGATTAGCTGTTCATTTATATTTCTAATTATTGTATTAGTTAACTTAAATTTGTGATGAATGATTTCAGGATATGGAAGTAAGCGATAAGAGTGGAGAAGAGAAGCATCCTCAATCAGATAAAGAAAGTAATGATGGTGATTCTGTAGCAGAAGAAAAGAAATCCCCAAAGAAACAAAATGATGGCAAAGCTAATGGAGAGGAGAAAGAAGAAACAATTTCTGACCAACAAGCTGAAGAGAGAATACCTCAGGTGGCTGAGAAAAAACAAGAAGAGCCCATTGAGGGAGGTCATGGCGATTCAGTGATAAAAGAGGGAAAAGTATCATCTGAGGGGGGTGAGCAGGCTTCGAGTAGTGCGGAGACAACTCTATCATCGAATGATAGTGACCCGCCAGGGAAAGCAAGCTGAACACCTAAAAGGTAAAAATTTACTTCATTATTATAATTTAAATATTCTGTTAGAATAATTATGCTTTATTCTAATCTTTGCTAAGTACTTATTGAAATCTGTTTATTTTTTAGTATAGTGCAATTCAGTAAAATAAGCTTTATTCATTTAATTCTTTCACTCTCCCTCTCTGAGATTCTAATTTGTTTCTCCCCTCATACTTAACGTTAATTAAATGACTAACTGCGGAAGGCAGAGAAAGATAGCAGCTGTTTAACAAATGATCTTCCCAATTAATATTGTCCCTATTGATCTGAGTTTTTGATAAATAAAATACAATTTTACTGCATTCATCATTTTATCTTCTAATTGCAGAAATAATGATTGAAGTTGCTAAGTACATTTTTATGGCTCTTACAATAATATGATGTTTGGTCTTAATTGTTTTAGCCATTTTTCTATGAGTTAACAAAATATATAGTTATTTTAATCTCTGTAAGTTTTTGTTAACATTTCTCCTTTTCCGCTGGATTGTAATGGAGTTAGGGAACCAGGATTCATGCCAGTGGATGGTTTACCACCTACCTCTCCTAGTAAAAAAATATTGAACATCTTAAATTTTAAACATATTATGAAGTTCCTAATTACTTGTTTTAATAACATTTTATATTGTTTAATGAATAGTTTTAAATGGCTATATTTTCATGACCAAAAGATATCCATTTTTTCAGTATGGTAGTTTATTTATTTAATAAAGGTATAATAAAGCAAATTATAAACTAACTATTAGTATTCCAAGATTACAACATTCTTATGGTTCCATATGATGTAAAAAAGTTTCATCGAAATCAGCTCAACCAATTTTCTTTGAAAGCAGCAAAAAAAAAAAAAAAAAAATTATATATATATATATATAGCAAACATATACACGTGTTATTTTATTTATAAGATATTGTTATAGATTGATGTATTTATGTTTGAATTATACTGGAAATGTTTGATGTATGAGTTGTATTATTTATAATTTTTAATTTCCAGGAGTCTTTGGAGGATGGGAGGTCCATTACAAGAGCCCAATGGTCTTTGCCCTTCCTGTCAATCTCTTTGCTTCTGTCGGAGTCAAAGTCTTAGCCTTACTGTCAGCTTTGTTTAATAGCAATGATTATATAAATTTTTATTTTATTAGTTAATTTCTTTCTTATGTTTTATAAATAAAAAAAAAACTAAAACAAAGGAAAAAAAAGACATTGTTAAAAAAAAAAAAAAGAAATGCCTACTTGTGAAAACTTGAAAGAGTTAAAGAGCATTATCCGTTATGGATTGAATTCTTGCACAGGTCAGCATTAACAGAACTATTATTTAAATGTTATTCATCACTAAATTGTTGTGTTTTTTCATGATAGTACATGTCATGGGTTCTGGAGGTTAAGGCCAGTTGAGCTCCTTTTCTGGTAATGTTGATTAGAACAAACAGATAATAATTTAACAATTAGCACTATTTCTGTTTTATTTAGGGGACAAAGTCTTGAATAGTTTTTTTTTTTTTGGATCCACCAAAACCTCATATGTTTTTAGTCTAAAATTAATTTTAACATGTAATGATGGCCATTAGAATTCTTAAAGTATAATATTTTGTGTATAATATGTTATTGATTTTATATGTGCAATTATCCTATTATGTGTAATTAAAGATATATTTTTGTATATTGAAGTCGTCGTATTACCAAAATTGCTTTATACCAAAGCATCATTGTCTTATTATTTTTTTTTTTTTTTAATAAATATTCATTTTGAGGAGTGCATTTATTATTATTAATACATAAATATATTACATAACTTCATCCTTGTAATTACATTATGTAGAAAGGTTTTGATGGATCTATACTATTAATTAATATATTTCATATTTACTGACCAGATTAAAAGAAGATAATTTATTAAAAAATTATTTTTGACATATAAAAAATTTGTAAATACTAGCCCTGTTATAAACAGGAGCAAATATTATGTTGGACATACCAATATCATTTAGTATTACTCTTTGGGTCAGTGCTAATGAACTTTGCAGCCTAGCTGTCCTCGAAAGTTATGTCTTAAGTTAATACACCTCAACAGCCTTTACAACTGCTGGGGCACTTTCGGGAGGTTGTAATAATATTCAAACATTAAAAGTCATGTACAAAATTTGAACATTTATTAGATTATTAAAGAAAACAGATAAAGCTATAATTTTTATTTTTATTTATGAAAAAGATGTATATCCATTTCTGAAGTTAAATGATATTCAAGGGAAACTTAAAATAATTGTTTTGTTTTTATTTTGTATTTATTTATAATAAAAAAAAAAAATTGAAAATATTAAAATCTTATTAGAATTCATAAAATTCAATTATTGATGTTTCTCTTAAGTTAAAACGTTTGACTGTAGTATCTCATTGGGAGTTGTGAATATTGTTTGTGTAATATACAATATAAAATTTTTATATATTAATTGGGTTGGTCTAACCCACCATTTCTGCAATTGTAGCTGCCATTTTAAGAAATTAAATCATCTTTATTTTATTCTCATTGCACCTAATTATTATTCCTTTATCTTATTTAGATTTATTGATCGAGTTCTTTGTTGGTAATGTCAAGATTAATTCTGAACACCTTTTTGTTTACATTAAACATGGAGGAAGGGGGCAGTCTCCGTAATAAGTACATTTCTAAAACTTTTATGATTCCTTTGTCTGTACAACCTCAAAACAAAAACATGGTTTCGCAATATGATATGCTATGTAGAAATGTTACCTACAAAACATTCTGTATACAATATGGAGGCTGACTGACCACCGAAAGCTGTGAATCAAAGGTTTTTAATGAAAGGCCAGCCACCAGATGCGGAGTTGAGCTGAGCACAGTTAATGGCGTCACTAGTGGCAGCTCTGCTCAGTTTTGATTCGACCCAGGTTCGGTTTTGGAGCTACGCTCAGTTTCCCTCACCACACCTACTCATCACTGCTTCGCAACCATGTGGCTTTGTTTCGCAGTGTTATCCTTTCTTTCTGTTTGTTCTCACTGCACAACGGTGATGGTTTGTAACCATTGTAACACAATGTTTTGTGTTGAAAAAAAAAATGTTCTATAAATGACACTTAAGCTGTGAAATGAGTTTTCTAAGAGAAAAAAAACATGCAATAAATTTAACCTCGTATTTGAGCAATTTGCAAAATTTCATATTTTTAAGTAGTTTTTAAAATTTTACCGTATAATCAAAGAAACTTCTGCGAGCCGTAGTTTAGAGACCCCTGTTGTAGGGTATGTTGCTACATATAATTATCTTCGAAAATGAACTATAAATAAGTAAAAATTTCAGTAATATGTAGGGACATAAGACTTAAAATACTTGCTTACCTAATACCTAAAATACTAGATATTACCATTAAGCTCAACTTTGACCCAATCACAGATTTTTATAATATATGAAGTTTGTATTTATGAAGTGAATGACACAAGCTGGAATTCAATATGTACTGAACTTGAGGCTTAAAAATGAATTCATTTGTCCTAAAAACATGTCACCTACACATTATTGCAACATTTCTATATCATCATAAATTTATTAAGACTTCCAAGAGTTATTAATTGAAATGTAATAAAACTTATATCATATGAGTACATAATATAACTAGCTGTGTAATATATTAGGCTTTAAACCTCAAAGGACTATAACTCTGAAACTATTGGTTTGTTAGATATTTTTGTCTCGCTTGTGGTTGAACTTAATATATCTAGATTTTCATTGAAATATACTTATAACTAGTGAATGGTGACTCCTGGATTGTTTGGCACAGAATGGTCTTATGCCAATTTTTCAGTATGTTACAAAGGTAAGTTGTAAAATTTAATTTTATTTATACAAATGTGTTTTGGAAACAGTCTACTAAGGTATAGTTTAAAAAATATGTAAGGCATCGGTATAATGGTCGTCGAAGAATGGTCTATTGGTCACTTTAAAATATGTTTTTAAAGCGTTGGAACTTTATATTCTCATTCTAGTTAAATCATTAATTAGTTTAATTAATTAATAATCAATTGTACATTTATTAAGTGAGGGATCTGATTCACATCTTTCCAAAATTGGGTTGCAATAATCAACTGTAGGTAAAATACGTACACAGTTGCATAGATCTAAGATTAAAATAATTTTTACTCTGCCAAAAGTAATTATATAGTTTAAAAATATATTTTTTTTAATATAAGATTTATTATACTCAAAAGAGTACAAATTAAAATACATACTATAAGAAAAATATGACTGATTTAGTATTTGTGGAATATATGTCAATAATAGGCGATTTGATTTTCATACATAATTTTAAAACATTTAAAGTTAAAATTGAACAAATATATAAAAGCATTTTAGCTGTCCTGTTTTATAGCAATAATTGTGTAAATTTTGTTATTAGTCAATTTCTTTCTAACGTTATATTAATAAAACATACTAAAATAAAGGGGACAGAGAATACAATGTTCTCTGATAAATTTCTATTTGTGAACCTCAAAGAGGATTATTGGAATAATTACTTAACTATTATTCATCACAAATAGTATTTTATTCATGGATTTGGGTTTAAGTTTCATTTGTGCCAGTTGAGGTCTCATATTTTATATTTTGCTAGTATTTGATAGAATTAACAGATTAATTAAATAATTAGCAATTTTTCTATTTTATTTAGAGTGCTACCAGTGAATAGTTTTTTCATGTCAATATATTCCTTTGTTCAAATTTACTAGAAATATTTTTATTTTAATAATGTTGTAAATATGAATTAAAAAAATATATATTTAGGGGACAAAGACTGAATGTTTTTTTGGATCCAACAACACCTCATATATTTCTGTTTAGTCTAAAGTTAATTTTAACATTTAATGATGGCCACTCGAATTTTTAATACTGTATTTTGTGTTTATTTTTTTCTTGATTTTATATGTGCATATATTTTATTAAGTGGATATATTTTTGTATGTTTAAGTCATATTAACCAAATTATGCTTAGTATTTTATACTAAAGTATTATGGTTTTGTTTTTTAAATTAAAGTATTCATTTTGAAGTTTGCACTTATTATTCCTAATTAAAGATATTACATAACTTCATCCTTGTGAATCTGTAATATAAAAAGATTTTGATGGGGATCTGTAGAAATATTTGTTATATTCTCGGGAAATTCTTAGTTTTCCCTTGACGACATTCTGTTTCATGGCAGATGGTACATTTTTAGGTAAAGCAATAATTTAATAAAACTCAGGTGGATCTTTTTCTGATTGTCTTTAGGCCAAACTTTATTGCTTCTGAACAATAATATTTTAACTCTTCTTGACAGTTTTGATGTAACAACACAAAAAACAAAACAAAAAAACATTGTACCTTGTAATAGAGAGAAACACTTTATTTTCATACAAAAGAGTAATGCCCAATCATACTGGGTTGCTAAATACACAGTATACTAATAATAGTACAAAAGTTGGGATTTTCATGTTATAAGTTCTATGGAAATTTTGATGAACTGAATGATTTAAAATATTTCGGAAATTGCTGTGTATTAACCAAAGCATCTTCTTTCTTTAGTTAAGGACATTTCAAACAATTACAGTACCTGAAGTAGTTTTCAGGTATTGTTAACTTTTTGAGAAAAGGAGTGAAATTGAGTTGAAGTTATTGTATTGTTTCACAAGTTTTTTTTAAAGGAAATTAAAACATTTGAATTGTTTTAAATATATTTTTTTATTTTTCAAAAATTAGTGAATAAATTTTGAATTAAAAGAAGTATTTTTCGAAGTGTGGGTATTTGACCATTGGACATATTGTTGCACAAACCTTTCTGGAAAAAAGACTGAATGGTAGGGGTGTATGTGGCAAGAATCCAGTTCACTTTTTTGTGAACCTCTGACTGAAAGAAACTTTCAAAGTCAAACTTTTCGAATTCAGCATTTGAGACACTGAATTTGACTTTTTCGAATCTCTCTACTGCCAGAGCATATAGCGCAACTGTGCAAATGGTATGGTTTGTGTAAGTGATCCCAAAGTGGAAGGAGTTGTCATCTACCTGAAAATAGGCTGCTGTGTCACTGCCACTGATGGCAATCTTCCCAAAGAGGGTGGCAAAGAACTTGAGGCCAATGTGAAGGTCGTAAGAGAGGTACTGGTTGTCCTGGTTTGTTTGGAGGAAACAATGGTCTGTTCTGTGAAGTGTGCCCCAACTGGTAAGGCAGCCATTGCTGTAGGATACCTGTTGACAGAATGAGTAAGCTTCTGATCAATTAATATCTCTTAAGGGATAAAAATATTTTTAAAATCTTCAAGTGCTGGCATGCAGTAAGTAATTATTATTATTATTTTTTTTTTTACTTGAAATAATTTAAGAAGGAAATAAAGTTACCTAGTCTGAGTTATTTAACGTAACGATGTATGTATGATACAAAGATAATTAAAACAGCTACAGAAAGGTTTAGGACATCCTTTGTTTTATTATTTTCAATAATGAACCATTGTAATCGACCAAAAAATTAAAAAACTTAACCCCCTTCAAAATTCGAGGTTTTACGTTTCAGGATAAAAATTTTTTTGTCCGTCGGCGCATTTTCTCCGAAACTACTGGACCGATTTTTTTCAAATTTAGATTTAAAGTCAGATTTCATCCGAGGATGATACCCTACTTCCGGATTACTATCAGCCTTTTCCTTTCAAAATGGCAGCCGAAAAATTATGTTGCTATATACTAGCACCTAAACGAATGTACCGATTTCAATGAAAACGGCCAAATTCTTCTCGATGCCCTCTTAATTCATCTGTATAACATATTTCAACGAAAAGAGCTGAAAAAAAGTTACGAGGGGTGATGAAATAGTTATTTAAAAGTTTACGTAATTTCATTAAAAAAAATCATTAAAATCGGACAATTTGGAGTAAAAAAATATGGTTTCTAGATATTTGTTATATGTTTTCCTGCAAACATTATGTCCTTTGTTATGGTATTTGATTTTTGAAAGAGTTACTGAAGTAATGCTATTTTTTTGGTTAGCAAATTACCAATGATGAAAAAATAAGTTGTTTAGGCCAATAATAATAGGAATCATCTTTTTTTTTCTGTTCTTTGTTACTAGGGAGGTAAAGTTACTTTTGATGTAGAATTGTCTGAAGATAATAAACCCTTGTGAACTAATGTGCAGATTTTTTTTTTTATACTTATATTGTATTATGGACTCATTAAATTTTATGTTAATTAAATTAAAACTCGTTTCTTCAAGAATTCAATTTGGTATTCTATAGTATTGCTTCATCTATTATGATAGGTATAGAAGTTAGTAATTATGCAGGAAATAAAGAAAAAAATTGATGTCAGAATCGAAAATTTAAAACTTCCGAATTTGACGTGTCTGAAATCGAGGAATGAATTTGGATTCGAATCTGATGCACCAGAGTCAAAAACAGTTAATGGGCTAACACTTTAGTATTTAATTTGGAAGACATTTTTAGGTATCGTGATTGTTGGCAAGAGGTACCAATCCGATTTAAGATTTAGTAAAATTGATACGTGATCATTTAGGTTGACCATCACAAATCGGTTTTATGGAATTGAGTCCGCCACTTTAGCTTAGGCACGCGCAGAAGTATTTACCTTGATGTCTGTATTTTCAATATAATTTTTCAGGTAGGTGCCGAATTTATTGATAGGCTAAAATCAATTATTTTAATACGTTTTGTATTTTTTTTTTATTTCTAACAATTGGCAAGCGCCCCGTGGCGATTGCCCCGGTTGTATCTCCTCTCCCCTCCCTTAAGGGAGGTACCCAACAAATTTGGTTGGAAACTACACTTACTTACTTGATCGACATTTTCTTTTGTATGGGCTTTAGTTAATTCATACCTATACTAGATTTATCGTAAGCATAATCCCTGAAAGTATCATACAAATCGGATTAACGGTCAGGCAAATCGTAGCGAAAAAGTTTGTTTACCTTGATCATATGTGGTAGTTCTGAATTTTTTTTTTTTTATGTTTGGTATGATAGATGACTAACGATAAATCCAAACTTCCGAATTGTACAGACTTCAGGATCATTGAAAAAAAAAAAAAAAACTGCAAATATTTGGGATATTTTTGTCCCAGGACTAAATTTACAGTTAAAGTAACTTTGTATTTTGATAATGGACTAATTTGCAAACAAAATGCGACCTAATTTGTTTAGACCGAACACTTTTCGTTATTATTGCTGATTTAATTTTCGAAATTAGAATGAAAAAAACGATTTTGACTATGAGGTAAAGAAACTCTCTCCTCCACTTCCACTGCTTTCCTGTGTCGTCTAACTCAACTAAAAAAGTCATTTGTCCATAACTGAGCGATAATAAATGAAATAGTTTTATTTTTTATCAGGGTCAATTTAATACACCAGTTTCAATTGTATTTTCTGATCAGAATTACTTTTCTAAATTTTTTTTTAATTGGATTTTTCTATCGAAGTACCATCGATTGTAGAATAATTTTAATTTCTCCTGTAAGGCACAAAGCCGTACATGTAACTCTTCGGGGCAATCTAAAATCAACGTTACCTTAATTTCGAGAAATATCTGGCGTGGCTTACGTTTTCGTTAATGGTGTCGCCTGGAATGGTTAAAATGGTGTCGTTATTATATTTGTTGAATAAGTTGATAGCGTCCAGTTCACTATCAACTTGATTGTCGATATCGATTATTGCACCACAAGCGATTCCAACGAACAAGAAGGCAGCAATGTGGACCTTCATCTCGGTAACACTTGGCAACTGAATCGTTGACAGGCTAGTTATCAGCTCTCCAAGTGATTATCTTTATTGTGATTGTGTTTGGGGAAAAGTCAGTTTGAGCTAATACTGAAGGACTTGGGATTCCGATACCGTCTAGCTATCAATATGCTTCTCTCATCGGGGAGGGGAGGGGATAAGAGGCTTTTCCGGTTTTTCTCTGTTGTTAAATTACGTTAGCTGTTATAGACATTTAAGAATGTTTTCCCATTCCCAGGACCAAGGTTGGAAAACGGCTGGTCAGTATCTACAGAATTCCTTGCATGATGTATGTATAATATGAAAATAAGCGGGTGAACGGTTTGGGAAACAGTATCACATAAACCAACATAAATTCATTTTCATTTATATTGATATTTGTAAAAAACTGTTATGATAGTCAAACAAGGCCTTTCTAGGTACGTTCCTCTACCAAATCATCAACAACCATCGTCCTTCTTACGCCTACAACCTTCTCCAGTTCAAATCCTGAATCCATTCCCTGTTCACAAGATCTCGACCTTCTGACCTTTACATGCCTTCTCACAGATCTGCCTCATTCCAAAATTCCTTTATTGTTCGCTCTGTCAATTTCTGGAATTCCCTCCCTATCAAAATTCGACATTCTCCCTCCATATCCACATTCAAATCCCACCTATTCCAATTCCTATCACAAAAACAGTCAGATACTTGCTAAGCATTCGAGCTGATTTTAATAGAGAATTTGATACATTTTTATTTTTTAATTCTTTATTTTTTTCGGAAAAGTGTATACTGGTCTATAAGAGCAAATAGCTTTAAGTGTCTTGTCATAGTATTAATGGTTTTGTATATAGTTTAGTTTGTTTTGTATATAGAATTTTTACCTTATATTTTTTTTACATTATTTCTTTTTTTCGATTGATTTTATTTTGGCCAGATGTAATATTTTAATTTTGTTCTATTTTGTTATTCTCAAGGGACTGTGTCCCAGAATAAAGTTATTTTTCTATTCTATCAAAGGCCGTACAAATATGAGGCCATAAACAATTTAACTGTTCATTCTTCACATGTCTAGTTTTTTATTTTTATAAAATAAGGATTGTCAGCTGCGTTGCCCTTATAAAACATAGAATAATTCCTCAACATGAAAATTCAGTTTACCAAATCTATTTAGGTTTATCATGTTTTGTTTACCATTGTAAGTTACGAACTTGATTTTGTTTTATTTCATTAACCTATTACTATTATTCACTAATAATTTTTCTATTCTTTGCCTATATAATATGTATAAAAAAATTGCTGACATAATATGCTGATTATTGAAAAGGAAATAGTTAAACCTGTATCATTTTTTATTTAATTTAAAAAATATTTTTCAATTAAATCTTGTTTTTCAATATATCAGTCCAAGACGACGAAAGGAAATCGCTCACACAAACGTGGCATTCTATAAAACTGATTCGTGGTATTTTTGGATAATACACATGACTGTACTTTAAATAGTATTTTACATTGCTGATCACTAAAATTTGGAACTTTGTTAGTCAGTTTAGTTTAAGAGATATTTATTTGTTTCGATGTGGCGTCAGTTCGCCGAGCCCAAGTTAATCGAAGAGGTAAATATATTTTTAAAAAAATATTTACTATACTTGCTTGTGTGTTAGGTTAAAAAGTGTGTAGTATTGAACACTACCCATAGGGGAATTTATTGTGACTTGAATGGTAATCAACGAATTTTATGAATGAAGCTGTATTTCACTGAATTACAACCATGACAAGGAATTATTGAAATGTAACTGTTTCTATTTATCATTTCATATATAATATATTTGGGTGGAGTGGGATTTGTGAAAGCTATATTGATTAGGTTAGGATATGAATTTTATTAAGGGTTTGATTAAGGTGGTAATAGAACAAAAAACTATAGTCACTGGATTATAATTGGAGAATTCCTAATATAAAGATCAGATCTCTAAAATAATGGCAAAAGCTATCCATTCAAATTTTCACTAATATAAGAATCATCAAAAAAACCAGATAATATGTATTATAAGTTTATTAGCAAAAAGTCAATAAGTGCATTTCTGATATAGGTTAAATACATTTTCGACTAACTTTATCTATTAAAAAAACAGTAAGTACATAGAAATGACACACACACCCTTTTATTTATCATATATAGTTACACCAATGTAAGTGCTCAATTTTCTGACTTCACAAAGGGAAAATTCATAATTATTTGAGGTATGAAATATCACTTAACTTTTTGCAAACAACCGACAAGTCTGAAAGCCCGTGCACAGAAACAGACTTTAATTGATAAAAATCTATAAAACATTTTTAAAAAATATTTATAACATTTATATTACAAAAATGAACGTCGTCAGTCGGATCTTGCTATCTGTAAATATGGCGGCTGATTTAAAGAGTATTAGGCCAGTGACTTGAGAATCGAAATGGAAAATTCATTGTGGGAAAAGTTTTTATTTTTTAACTTGTATATATGTGTTTAGGTGTTCGAAAAAAAAAAAAATTCTAAAGTGGGCCACCAGTAAAGACAAATTTATTTTATTGTTTCTTTTTTCAATTATAACTCTTAAACGGTGCTTCGAAGCGAAAAACGAAAGCGAAATAGTATATTCATATTTGGAGTATTCTTTGTAACAGTTGATAGTTAATCGCTCTTCTCTAACGAAACCGTCTACTGAAGGCAGAAAGTCTAATTTTTGCTGCTAAACCAAAAGCAGCAGATTTCATATTCTTAGAAAGGAGCTTCAGACGAGAGATTTTTTTTTCATATACATATAACGATAATTATTTTGAAAAAAAAGAAAGAAATTAATTGCCTATATGAAATGGTGTTAACGTGGTTCTTGAAGTCCTATTAAATGTAATTAAACGAACAAGAATACTTTAAGAGATAGTTTTTAATATTTTTTTCTGTAAAACGTGATTATATTTTACCATTTTGGGAGGAGGGTTCAGCCCGAAAGCCCCCCCTCCGTAGATCCGCCAGTGATGACATCTATCGAAGTCTGGTAACAGAAAAAAAAATAAAATAAGATTTCGATATCACTATTTAAATAAATAACTTACAATTTGTATTATTAGAAAAGATAATTTTAATATTTAAAAAAATCATCAAAGTAAGCGAATCCAAATGCAAACACATTACCTTCGCACTCCGGCGCAGATTCTGTCCATCAGTCCACTTTAATTCCATCCAGCTTCCTTTTTCAGACACAGTCCGGTATCTTGGCTTTATCTTAGACCGAAGACTAACGTGGAACCCAGGTACTAGACTTAAAAGACAAGAACTTAACCGACGATACGGCCAATTATACAGACTACTGACCAGAAAATCTCAACTTTCAATTGACAACAAATTACTGATCTACAAGACAATCCTGAAACCTATTTGGACCAACGGACTTTTGGGAAATTTGGGGGACAGCAAAATTTTCTAACATCAAACGCATCCACTCCTTTCAGTCCAAAGTCCTCCGAACAATAGTCGATGCTCCGTTCTATGTAACCAACAAAACCCTACATCACGACCTTAATATCCCATTTGTCCTCGACCTTATCCCTAAAAAGTTTTCCAAATTCCATCAGAACCTTATAAATCATCCAAATCCCCTAGCATAATCCCTATCTAGTTCGAATCATGCCTACAATCCTCCTCGAAGGTTGAAGCGGCAGTGGCCCAGAGATATTTTGTAGTATATATCTTGAAGTTCTGGCAAAGGCCAGATTCTCCACTCAAGACATGAATGTATGTGGCTATAGTGCTCTCGCTCAAACTCCATTGGCTTTAGCACCAGTGACGCGGTTGAGAGAGTAGCGCAGGAATCTCTTGGAGTCCTGCTTTTCCTTCTATAGTTGGGGGAGAAGCCTGGCTTGGGATTTCCTGCCTAATTGTATATATTGTATATAGGTATGACTGTGTTTTTATGTTTTTTAATTTACTTATCTTTAGGTTATTTTTTTTTTATTGTACATAGTTTTTAATTATTATTTTACTTTTGTTAATTTTATATTTTCTGTATATATGGTGTAAATGTGTTCATGTATCACTATAAACTATTATCCACTTGACAGATTGTTATAATTCTAAATAAATAAATTTAAAAAAAAATAAATTAAATCGTTAAATAATATTTTACCGCTGCGGACTAATGATTAATCTGAAGAACAGGTGCTGCAGCTTCCTGAACTCCACCGCCTAGCACACTTAGGACTGACAGCCGATGCAAGTTACTTGATCAAGTTCGGAGCTGATGTAAGTTTTCATCTTATCATGTTAAGTAGGGAAGGAAGGATTGTAACGAACGCCTATTCTATTAATTACTCCATTGACAACTTCAGGTGGACAGGTTGAGCAAGGAGCACTCGACCGCCCTGCACTGCGCCTGCCTGGCGGCGCAGGACAAGATGGTGAAGCTGCTGCTGAGGCAAGGCGCCAACCCTCTGATAGCCAACGGCGATGGCGACACCAGCCTCCACCTCGCCGCCCGGGTCGGATCGGTCCCTATCCTCAAGGTATGGGTGACGTCATCCACTATAAATCAGCCTGTTGTTATTTGAAACCTTCCTGTATTGGGCTTTTTCAATATTAAAAAGGAATCATCTCTACAACAAATTTCTGAAATCTGCTTTCCATTAAATTTTAATTGGAAACATTAATTCGCAACTCCGTTTGCAGTGCTTGATTGAACATAAGGTGCCCTTAGAAGTTGAAAACCAGTCAAAGTTGACACCGCTTCAAGTAGCTGCAAAAGCTGGACAAACGGAGGCAGTGAAATTTTTGATTTCTGCTGGAGCTAAGGTTTGTGTATCTGTTTTTTAGATGGAGTTATTTTAATTCGCCAAAACTATTTCCTATCCTTTTAAGAAACAGCAAATCTCTGTATTAGGTGATATTGCAATAAGTAGGCTTAATTATGTAGGCGGTTTTAAAACCACATATAATGGAACAATTATGTGGGTTCGTTCCCTTTGCACTGAAAAAATATTAGTTTATTTATTATCAGCAAATTTTATACCAATTTTAAAAAATTTGTCAACTTAATGACTGCACATCAAATTACGACGTTTTGGCTCGTCATTTTCAAGTCTAAAAATTTTTTACAATTTACAATCATATTTAAAACATTACATATTTCAACTTCATTCATTTTATATACCTAAATACCAATCATGTACCTGTCCTTTCCACTTATGCGAATTGCATGCGACTACTCATAATAAAATTTGTTATTCTCTTCATGCCCACCTTTAATTATTTTATAACATTATTATTACTCAATTATTTCTTATTAAATGATTCAAATAAGTTAAAATTACCTTATCATGTGTCACTGACTTTTCATCAGTCTCATTTCTATTCAGTGACTGGTTATTATAATGATGTTTCCCAACATTATATGCGAACCTATTTTAAGTAAAATTAGCTAATTCATTTCAATTTTTTATTTTTTCAATTGAACTCGCGTAAAATGTATTCATATTATCCACGTCTGTATGATGATTTACCGAGTTTTTAAAATTTTTAGTTATGTATATTGCTTCCTCTATTCTTAGTTTATTCGTATTACTTTCATTATGCAGGATTTTGGCGTTTTTGAAATCAAAATAAATAGTATGCACCGAAGAAGAATTGGAGAAATATTGTGAAGTTTAGTTACTTATTAAGCTTACTTATTTGTTTCCACCACTTTAGCTCATCTATGAGCCAACAATCAAGGGTACCCTGAAGGATACATATCTTCCTGTCAGCATGTCCTTCTCTCTAAATATTTTTAACAGCTCCATTGTGTGTTCAACAGACCTGCTTCTTAGGAGTCGATCTTTTTATTTGACTAAAGTATAATCCTTTTAAAATATTAATACTATTAAAAAATATTGTATGTTTTTCTGATTACTTCAACCTTTAATTGACAGACGGTATCAAACTGTCCAATAACTGCTATATCCAATTCTTAATATAAAACCATCGTGATGTACTCATTACTTCTAATATTGTCACAAATTAATGACGATTCGATACCTCCATTATCATTAACATGGGAACGCTCCTCTTCGACGTTCTGGCCGCAGGATCCTGATCATTACCCTGACCTACATTCAGGTTAACAACTATATGGATCAAACTGTGGACGACAATGCTAAGATGGATATTCCGTAGATTGCCACCAGAAGCCGCAGCAGTGGGCTGTGCTGCATGGAGCTTGCGGCCTCTACCGGCTGCGAGTCCACAACCCGGCTGCTGCTGAACGCGGGCGCTCCGATCGGACGCGCGCTCCACATCGCGGCAGCCACTGGCCACACTGCCGTCGTCGAGCTGCTATTGGACAACGGCTTGGATGTCAATGCTCCTGACCACAACGGCGATGCTCCTCTACACCTTGCTGTCATAGCTGGTCATCTGTAAGGAAATAATAATACTTTATTATTTGAAATAGTGTAATACTTTATAACCATTATTAGAAAATTAGCTCTAGCGTCAGAATTGGCAATAATTATCTTCTGGAAGAGCCAAAAAATTACTTATATAAGTTGATAAAAGAATACAATCCAATATTTTAAATTATTAAAACAAGTGATTTTCCCCCTCGTTTTTTCCTAAAGACACATGAAATAGGTTTTGGATTGCTGAACGGTGCTCTTTTATTAAAAACATGACCAATGAATACGTTAATCTGCAATTATGAAATAAGTTAGATGTTGAATTTCTGTCTTTCTAATTTGTTGAGTTAGATATCTACATCAAGAGGTGCCCATCCCCCCAAGATTGATGGCGCAGATTGATCTCCTCCTTGAGATTGATCTCCTCCCCCCTCTCCCACCCAAGATATTTTATTTTCTACCTTTTCTTAAAAACAGAGCAAGCACAGTCAAGTCTTTCTCGCCATCGATACCATCGAGTCTGGCATCAAGACATGTCATAACACATCACATAGTAACCAGAGGGTGTGTAATACAAACCGTGCAATATAATTACGTACATCGATATTGTCCGTTGTGAATCTAAATCCATTCGAATCTCCTCTATCTTTTCTCTAGTGTGAAATGACATATCACAAAAATATACCACAATTATTGATGTAGTAATTATATCCTTAGCCATGTTGCTGTTGGCCAATCCTCCAGCACGAGTGAGACATCCGTTGCAGATGAAAGATCTGTTCGATTATCATGTCTGGTCATATCCCACGCCTATTCCACGCCAAAATTTCTCTGATAGCCTTATGATGAAGTACTGATTACTTATGTGCAGGTTACGTTGTGCACGTATCAAACGTGACTCACGTTCCATCATAAGTGCCAAGACGTCTCATACAAGATATGTCCGCTGAAGTGAAAGTAGGCTATTTGCACATTGATGTAGGCAGTCCTTGAACACGAGGTGTTCATTGAAATTTGAATGATACATGAGAAACAAATCTTTTGGTGTAATTAGCATCAAGAACCAAGAAAATGGTAAAAGTCGTTTGTCATATTTCGCTTATTTTAGAACTTTGGAACTTATTCGAAGCTGCGTTTTGTGACTTTTGTATTAAATGTGTTAATGTATTAATGATAATGTTTTTTCGGTGCCGAAAATGGTTTCTGTGTTTTAGGTGAAAACTTAAAAAATCCGAAAATTTCGAGGTTTTGGCGGTGCTAGGTCTGACACTTGTTAGGAAAAAAGTGGGCCATGAATTTCGGGAAGTAGTGCACAGAAAAATCCTATTTTTACTGTGTTTAAGGCCTAGTAGCTTATTAGCAATTTTCTACGAGCTTATTACACCCCACTGAATGTCGATTGCAAGCAAGTTGATAGAAACATTTTTATTGTATACAAGATGAACACTATATTTATACAATACAACTGACTTGCACACTATTAGGGGTTTCTACTAGGAACGAAAGCAGGTAGCTTTGACTTAAAGCTATTTTCCTATTCCTTTCTTAGCCTAGTTCTAAAAACAAATAAAATGAACAAAAACAATACGAGTAAGAGAAGTTGGTTGGAGGTGCGGTCAGAGATATATATACACTCAAATAGAAAGCTTTATAATCTTACAATTTTATAATTTCTTAGGTGATAAAAATATCTGTGTTCAACAATATATCCACCAATAAAAAACATTGATAATATCAATAAAAGTAATTTACGAGAAGGAGTTGATCAAGGGTGCGGTCAAATTAATACTAAATTAAACAAGTAGAATTATTTATTTTTTGCCGACGTTTCGACCCACTTTGCAGGTCTTCATCGGGGCTACAAAAGATACAAAACATGGTGAAAATAAAATAAATGTATATAAGTAGATATAAAATAAGAATAAGTTGTCTGATACAGAAATAAAATGATGATATCAGAGATATAGTGGGTGACAATGTAGTTAAAATGTCGAGTATTATGGGTAGAAGATACAAACAAAAATGGAAAATAAGTTTGAATAAAGATAGAAAATAAAGGATAATATAGCATGTAAGTTAAAAGTAAACAGATTGAGATAAAAGATAAGGAATGATTGTATAACAAACTAATAAAGATTACATTTGATAGCTGTAGGTTAACATATAAAGAAAATGAATGTTAACGAATAAATAGATTGTAAATTGAATAAGTATCGAATTACTTTATCAATACTGCAAAGTGGGTCGAAACGTCGGCAAAAATTAAATAATTGTACTTGTTTAATTTAGTATTAATTTGACCGCACCCCCCGATCAACGCCTTCTCATATTATATCAACGGTCAACCATCACTACATCAAAAGCAATTTACATTTATATTTAGCAATATCATAATGATCGCAGCAGCCGGATGCCTAATTATCTGAAGGGGGTTTAATAAAGTTTTTTAAATATTTTATAACCATTACTTAATTTATTCAATAATCTCATCATATCGAGAGCAATAAATAATTTCTTAAGTCATGATTTTAGAAGTAAGAAAACTTGAATGTTTCGGGCTGCTCTGCTGGTCTTAGGCAAATGCATCATAACATAATATGGAAATAATGCCAATTAGGGAAATATAATTGTTGACCGTTTTCTCCAACGGTGATGACAGAGCTACAGTGGAGCTTCTGGCGGATCGAGGCGCAGACCTCAACCAGGATGGCTGTGATAGCGCCCGACCAGTACAGCTGGCAGCAGGTAACCCACAGCTCTTGAGGTGGTTCCTCGATCAAGGAGTCGAGAACGTGCCGCGCTGTTCAGCCCAGAGGACCGAGCAGGTTGGTCTAAGTTATATTTTAGTTCCAAGTGATCTTTGTTATTACTATCAGTCACCAAGGTTAAGGCGAAACTTATAAACGTTAGAGGAAAAAATTGGGATAAGTACTTGTCATCTGCGTTTCGTACTTCCAAAATTATTCATTTATTTCTCTCTCTCTCTCTCTCTCTCTCTCTCTCTATATATATATATATATATATATATATATATATATATATATATAGATGATAGGTAGTGAATCGATAAGTAGTTTATCAATGAATTAATTCAGATTAATATAAAAAAAAAATTGTGTTTTAATTAGCATTGTTTTTTTCTAAACAAAAGTTCGTAAATAAAGTTAGTATCATTCAAGCAGTCACAGTGTTTACTTCATTACCTTCTATTTTGTTTTTTAATTCCTATATTACCAAATAACTTAAATGGTGCCGAGAGACCCGGGAATGACGTTGGTTGTGTGCTCTGAGGAAGGCGTTATTTTAAAAGCTTATGCTATTAAGATCATGGCAGTTAAACAACTTAGAGCCAACTTTTTTTTTTTTATTTGTTTATTTGCGGGGAATTTAAAATCCCCTTCGGCACCGAGACGCGAACTCATACTTCTTAAATCATCTCAAATCTCTGTTATCCGGTTGCCAGGCAACTAGCGGTGCTGTACACACGCTTTAGCCCATTTGGCCACCCCGCCCCCGTAACTTAGAGCCAACTAATCAACCTCAAGGCCTACCTATGGGTACTCAAGATTGTGAAGCTACCACCAGTTCCAAGGTAAGTCAAGTTGTTAATACTAATCCCGATCTGGTGCAGTTAGAGTTGGTAAGGGTTAGAACAGCTACTGCCACTTATCTAAAGAATGCAGCATCAGAGCTAGAACGTTTTGGGGGAGAACTTGGTCACCTCAACCATTTTCTAAAACGAGGGAATCAAATACACAGTCTGATTGAGGCGAGAATATCTACGAGGTGGGTGGATTTACTCGATGCCACGGAACTTAGGGCATCTCTGGTTGGAAGGGTAAGGAGAAATGTCCTTAACGTTATAGAACCCGATGAGCTGACATCATGAGAAGAGGTCACTAAAAGACTGAAAGGAGGGAATATGAGGTGTACAGATTGTTTACGAAAGTTAGGCTGTCGGATTATAATTTTGCTGAAATAATTTTAAATCAATATATAGCCATCTCCGAAAAACTCGTCGAGACAGTAGGAGAAGTAGAGGCGGCTCAACAGCTAGCAATTTTTGAGAAGGTCCTAAAGGTGCAATTGGGATAAAACGTGGCGATAAAAGAGAAACTAGTCTCGGAAAAATCTTTTGTCGATTGTATACGAGAAATAACGGACTAGGGAGCAAGGGAGCAGGAAGAATTAGAAGGCTAACCCCACGGTTAACCTTCTAATTTCGGTCTCCACAGACAGGCACGTTTCAGAAACAGTAGGACCTATAGGGAACGTATCGACTCCAGACTGAATCATCACGGATCCCCAAACTGGAACCCAAAAGAAGCCATAAAGAAGGACAGAAAAGCTCTACTCTTTGGAGACCCATATCCCTCGTTTAGTAGTCCTTTGTAGTTCGTAGAGAAAAAGAGACAAAAATAAGGTGATCTATCGTATCGTTTATTAATCGATTATAGGAAACTTAACTCCTAGTCTGACTAGGCTCTCCCTAGAGGAATCCACAACATAATTAAAGGATGAATTATGAAAATATGATAAAAAAAATTATGACAAATCTTTTTTAAAATAAGATGATAGAAGGATGAGATAATATCTGAAGATGGGATAATAAAGTGATCCCAAATTGAAAAAAAGTTGTTGGGAGAATAAAGCTGTTACCTAATTTTTATTTATTTATTTAACAATGAGGAACAATTAATTATTTAAAATAAAACAAATTAAAGGTACTTTAGAGAAACTACATTTTGAGAAAATAAATAAAATTTGAAATTTGGGTATTTAGGCCCTGTTAGGCAATATCAATGAAGATTAGACTTAGCTGTTATTAAAGACCATTTAATTGTATCTTGACTTGCAGTTTAATAAATTTGTTTAGATCCGTTTTCGAGAAAATGTATAAATGTGTAAAATTGTTGATATAAAGTGGCACTTGTGGTCAGCCGATTTTAGGAAATAAGTTGTTGTAACATCTCAGGTGTATAACACCTACCTTAAATATGTAATTTCAGTTTCATGCAACTTTTAGTTTTTGAGCTGGCTGTTCATATACATGAGGCTTGATTTTAACTCTTACCAACTTTTTAAGGCAATATATTATACTAGTAGGCCCATGCGAAAAATTCGCACAGCATATTGTTATCAAATGCCAAATTAATAAGAAAATAAAATAATACAACGTATCAAAAGATATAGAAATCAATTGTTACTTTATCGATAAATATAATCGACAAAGAAAACAAAAATTAATTTAAATTTTAATTTTTGTTTGGAACCAACATGTTTATAAATTTCAGTAAGATGTATCTTTGCTAAAAATTGTCCGATTTCAATTTTTTTTTTCCTTTTGTAGGAAATTAAGTAAGCATTTATATAAACATGGGCATAACCAAGGAAACAGTGTGTAATTTTTTTGTTATTCGCAAATAAAGTTCGTTTTCTTTCATAACTTGTTTGCCTGAATTTTCGGGGTGATTGGACTATTTTGCCCGCCTGAAGGAGAAGGCAGCCTTCGAAATTGGTGGCTCAATTTTGAGATTTGGTGAAAAATTAACGATGATATGGCTTGCCGGTCAAAAACACCATCGATAAATAATATAAACTCCTCCTCTCTCGATCATAGAGACCTCAAGACGACGAAATGAGACATGTATTCAATGGCAGTACTACAATTATTGTAAGGTTGTGTGGATGCGAATCCTATGCCTTGCGTTATCTCGAAAATAGTACGTTTTGGGGGTTAAAAACGCAGGATCCGATAGTTCCGGTGGAACTATCCGGGTCTTGCTGTACGCATCAAAATTTTCAAGATCCAATTTGTCCCGTATCGATCTACAGACCTACCACCGTTCCAGTATTGAAGCCTAGCAAAATGTTTGTATCGACTTTATTTATTTTAGAAAGAAAAACAAAAGTGGAGAATACACTAACCCCCCATGAAATTCTGAATCCAACGGTATCCCATTCATGATATTTAAGCATGACAGGAACTTATATTTGGTACAAAACCGATTTCGAGCCTTACTGTAATAATATATGTGGGGATTGATAGTCCTTAATTATATTGAAGCTGTTGAGATTTGAAGATCCACAATTTTTATATTTTAGCAAAAGATATTTCCCGATGGACATTTTTGCATCCACTGGGATGATAGCTCTTATCTATCTCTTATCAATAATCCTTATCTGTTTCCTCAATTCAATTAAAGTACTAATATAGCCTATTGCATATGTGAATTATTAATAGCCAGAAAATGTGGAACGGTGCTAATTGTCTTAATTTTAAAGTTTGTTAATTGCAGGATGGCTTCGTTTGGAACTGTTGGGTGTACCCTGGGGACGAACCAGAAAATGTGGCAGGTGGATGCTTATCAGAAAAAACAGTTGGACGATGGGTGCTTGCTACTCGGCCATAATATCAAAATAATTTTTTCCGATTCCTCCATTCTTTATTTACCTTTAATTTATTCATGTATGTTTACTGCATAAATAAAGGTTGTGATTTGAACCATATTTATTTTTATTTCTCGTCCACAGTGGCTACGTTTCGGCTGTGATGCCATTTAGTTAATACTGATCATTCTATTCAGTTCATAATTATATATCTTTAATTTATATTACAAAATTTCTTGCACTTCCTAATAAGTCAAGTTAGAGCTATATCATAAGTCATGAATTGAAATAAATTTTGCAGACAATAATAAGGTGTATAAAAAAAAAAAATTACCGATTTTCAACCAACTATTCAAAGTATAGTCCATTGCTATCAACCATCATTAGCCATCCGCTAATAATGCCAATTGCTCGATCCCTTGATGATACCAATCTTTGGTATTGGCTTTCTAAGAACTCATGGACCGCAATTTCAACTTCCGCAAAATTATCAAATTTTTTCTCTTGAAGAAAATTGTCCATGGATCTAAATAAGTAGTAATCCGATGGTGCGAGGTCTGGACTATATGGTAGATGTGGCGGGAGTTCGATTCCATGAAGTTCTTAAAACTCTTCTTTGGTTTGACAGGAAGTGTGAGGACGAGCTAATGCTCGTTTTTGGTAATCTTGTTGGAATAAAATTTCTTTTCGGTTGATCAAAGCAGGATAACGCTCTGACAACTTCGTGTACAATCTATCCAGTTGTTCGTAGTAGAGTTCAGAATTCTTAAAGCATCCATCCCAGCATGGATTTTTTTTAAATTGCTTCCTTGCAGAAACCGGAAAAGGATTTTGACCGCTATCTAGCCATTGCTCACGGGTATTCGGATTACGCCTGTATTTTAATCCACTTTTAATCACTGGTGACAATCTTCCGAGGAAACCTCATACCAGAAGTGTTTTTCGATAAATCTTCACAAATTTCTAGCCTCTTAGCCGATTGCTGAGGAATAAGTTCCTGATGGACCAGTCTATTGACCTTTTTCACCTTCCCCATGAAGAATATATGGCGACTAACAGAATCTTTCGACACACCTCACTCCTTGGCAAGTTCGCGAGTACTTTTGGACGGATCCATTAATGGTCGCCCAGAGTCCTTCTTTCTTTCGAACGTTGAATCTCCACTGCCAATTTTTCAAGCCAACGCCGCACAGTACGTTGGTCAAGGACACCTTCTTCATATTAATAATTTCAAGAGTTGCCTCAGAGTCTGTGATTTTTTTCCCCCAATAATGCCTTAAAATTACGAGAATTTTGTATATTATGTTTTATGTTTGTCATGTTTTTTCTTTGGTTAGAAAATGTAAACTACGGTTTTTTTTTTTAAGAAGTCAAATTTGATTAAACAAGCTTAGAGAATGATCTAAATGGTTTATTAAGTATTGGTAAGTATTAAATAGGATTAAAATATTTACAGTCCTTTGAAATAGTGTATTTGATAAAACGGTCATTTTTTTTTAATACTCCCTAACAACTTATGATTTTATTATATAGATTATTTAGCAAAAGATATTTTCTGATGGGCACTTTTGTATCCAATGGGATGATTACTGTTATCAATCTCTTATCTCTTATCTTTTAAAAAATATTTTCAAATTTTAATTATTTTTATTTTTATTGCTTCTTAAGATAAAGTGACCATAATTTAACTTTGGTAAAGCGGGGCACCATTGACAAGGAGGAGAGTATTCTTGAATAAAATTTTGGTTCATTAAGTTTAAACAATAGTTGAAATTTGTTGTTACAATAATTAATTTTATATACAAATAATCTGGTGCAAATTTTAATCACTTGACATAGTATTCAGCAGAAATAAGGTCGAAAACTTAGTTCAAAAGTCGTTTTTTTAGAGAGTGAATAATTTGATGAATTTTTTTATGTTTCGTTTATGACTTCAATAATTCAACACAGTTTTTGAGACCTAAATGTGTAGGCCATCGATTTGTACACAATCAAGTAGCTCTTTTTCAAAATGCCAAAAATTTAATAAGTTTTTTGTACATTTCAATAATCAAAGTTGTAATTGAAGTTAATTTGCTAGATGCCCAAGATTTAACCTTCACCTTATCACGTATTTTTTAATAACGATACCTCATTAAAACATCATTTTATTGTTGTTTATTATCATTAAGTTCAAACAATGGTGGTAGAATTCTAACAACGGATAAACTTTGCTAAGAAGTTCTCGATAATCAGTTCTTAACAATTATTCATTATAATTAAATTTTAACATTATAAAATCAATAAAAATAATATAAAACGTTGATTCTTGAGAAATAGCTACATGATGAAAATCCGTATATTCTCTTCCCGTTCTCCTACTTTTCCCTAGCTTTTGCATTCTTTCCTAAAATCGGGACTTGTTGAAAAGCATTGGGACGCGGTACAAATTGTTGAAAATCGGGAATACCCCGCTTAAAGCGGGACGTCTGGTCATCTTATCCTAAGAGGGTGTCCAAATGAGGATTTTAAAAATTGGTACTAAAATTGGCCAATTCTCTCTTTTGTGTAATTGGTTCTGGTATGTAATATGTAATATGAAACACAACCATCAAAATCCTATCACCTTCTAGCATTTTCTTATAAATATCTTATCTTGGGAGGAACGCACTCGAGCGAAAGTGAAGTTTATAACCTACATAAGGAGGTCATAAGTCAGGGAGTCTTGATTGTTCATTATTCTCATATTATAAATTATGCATTTTAGCTAGATTTTTTAGTAAATATGTTTAAAGTTAATATAACTAATCACAAATACTAGGCAAATATTAATATTTTATTACTTGAATCTTTTAGCATTTCTTCAGACAAATCGCTGGTTTTAACCAAAATCGGCACAACCAAGAAACAAATAATAATAATAAAAAAATATGGTGTATGCTTAAGACCAGAGGATAGAAGTGAAAACATTAACAAGAAGAGATGAGTAATATGAAAGATATATTTTTTTATTTGATCTATATTCAAAAATAAATAAAATTTAAAAAATATATATAATTTCAATTGTGTATAATTTACTCTTGTAAATTTTGACTGTCCGTCATTTGTATCATAACCTAAAGATGCACGTTTAGGCATTTCACAAACTATGAGAAACAAAAATATTTAAATGATTTTCCACCTCTGACAGTGTTTTTGTTTCTTGTTTTTGATCTTTTCCATCTGTTGTTGGAAACAATTAAAATTTAAAAAACTGGTACGGTGTGTGCATTACGCAACTTTCATTTACCATCCTCTTCTTAGCAAAAATAAGTATTTTCAGACAAAGGGGAAGTGAAAGTAAAAATTGTAGAGGCTATATTTATTTATATTTCATTGTGGGTATTTTTATTTTTATAAATACTCTTATACATATAAATTTTAATATTTATATCGCTGTAATCTATACTATGAAATATTAAATAATACCAACAATAATATTTATAAAAACCGCATATGTATATTTACATAATATTTTCTTAGTCCGTATTATATTAGCTCGTGTTCCTTTGGTTCCTCAATCGCAACTATTCTCCGTTACGATCTCTTATTTCTACTTTAGTTAATTATCAAATTCTTTCATATTTTATATTTAACTATATTATAGATTAGAGATTAATGTGAAATGGTCAATTGTTTCAAATAAAAAAAAATTAACAGTACTTTAAGGGAAGCTAATATTGAAAATTAGCCATTTAAGCCTTGTCAGAGAAGATCAATCAGAATAAAAACTACATTTTATTCAAAACTGCTTAATTTTACTCTGATATAATGAATTTAATCAAAATCGTTGGAGTTGTTGTTTTGTTTTTTGGAGTTCGATAAAATCATAAAAATGTGTTTAGTCCACAATATAAAGTGCCACTTGCAGTTAGCCGATTTTGCATGCCGATTCTAAAAGCTGTCAAATCTGTTCCTTATTCCTTTGAAGAATTAAGAGAAACTTCCAAAGAAACAAACACAATCATCAATAAGACGTTATTTTTTACAAAACAAACAATAATTTGAATTTACAAATATATGTATATATATTTTTACATGTAAATTATGTAGCACAATGGTGCCCGGTCATTGTGGAAGACAAATATTCATGAATTAATATTTAAATAAGTCTGTGATCTAATTATTTTTTTTAACGAGACATTATATTATCTGCTTGTATTATGTAAAGACATTTAATTATTTATATTGAACAACATGTGGGCTGGACTAAGCATTGTTACAAATAAACTACACTACACGGAAACACTATTAAACAAATTTAAATTGGATTTTCGAATTTACACAGTGACTTCAGTTGCAGAATCATGGCCCGAGAGGTTTGGAGAAACCTTAACACAACCCCCTCTCCTTGCCAACCTATAGGTAAATATCTTTTACGACCATATCATCTAAATATTCCTTAATCTATAATCATAGGAATTATGAATTCGTTGCTTGATCCTGTACTAGTCAGTTTCGTCGAAACGATATACCGTTGTAATTCACATTAATATTTAGAGAGATCTGATCTCTTAAACTCATTCATGTAATTTTTTATTCCTTTATTTCTATCAATGACATTGTACCTCTTCATGACAGAAACACTTAATTTCCATCCAGAGGAAAGAAAGATGTGACCCATATTCACTTCTTTCACCTTAAAATAAAGAAGAAAATCATATAAAAAATTAATTTCTAAAAATTTGATTAACAATATTTCTTGAAAGCTCTACTCTGCCTTTTTGGCAATATGGATGTTTGCAAGAATGGGAACTTGCGTGTTTACAAGCATGCCTGCGTGTTACAAGCCACTGTTACAATCAGATACATTTCTTTTTTTAGCTGTGTATTATTCTTTAGTTTAGATTCTTCTACCCTTCACCATCGTCTGCTATCCTTTCTAAGGACCTTCATGGCGGAGCTCCTCTCCTGCTCAAAAAGGATCAGGTAGGAACGAGTAGTTCTTTCGAACTTTTTTTTTTTTTTTGTTCTTCCCTACCTCGCCTTTTAGACTATACGGGATTTTCCCGGTGGATGAGGGTGGGGAATTTTAAAATCCCCTCCGGCACCGGGACGCGAACTCGTACTTTTTAAATCTTCTCAAATCTGTAATCAGGTTGCCAGGCAACTCGCGGTGCTGTGCACACGCTTTAGCCCATTCGGCCATCCCGCCCCTTTTAGTTCTTTCCAACCGTACCCATAGGCATGTAGTGAGGGTACTTCACCATAGACATTTACGGTAGATAGCTGTGAATCAGAATGTAGAACCCAGTCTCCCTTATCAGCTTAGCCCTCAGCTCCTCATAGGCATTGTAGGCAAGTAAGATTTGTTCAACAAGTAAGGTTTGATGTGTTTCCGGTATCATTTATACTGCATGAATATTATTACTATGTTCAATGAATTTTCCTCATAAACGCCCTTGGTAGAGATCAACAGCCAATTGTTTTCAAGCAGAATGCTTAATTTAATTCAAATAGTGTTTATATTGTGGATATCTGCCAAATATAATAATTAGTCAAAACAGAGTAAATATTTTTTTGGCCTTTTGGTTTTTGTAATTTATAATACATTATACTCATTTAAAACCATAGTAAATATTTTTTTTTTATTCTGCACAAAATATGAACTCAATTGATATGTAATGTAATAAGCTAAAAGTTCGGGTAAGACAAATGCAAAAACATAAATATGGTTTGAAATTATATAAAACTTTTATTTCCTCGTCTCCTTAGAGTTCATTGGTACAAACGCCGGGGCATGTTGCCAATATTTTTCGATGTAGTATCACCGAAAAAAATTTGATTGAAATCGGTGACCAACTGACTTGTAGCTTTCCCCTTGGGAGTTTCAGCATTCATTGGCTTAAAGGATAGAGCGGTTTTTATTAGTTTTTGTGATCATCAAAAACCTATGCCAGACTATTCGCATGGGATCTTAATATATATTTTAACTCTCCCCATCTCTAATATATATTAGTTTCCCTTCCTCGTTCCATTTAATCTCTTGAGGTGCTAACATATCCAAGTACACGACTCGTAACTAACAGCAGTTATATTCATTCAGGAACTGTGGGGATGTTGGACTCGGCGATGATCCACTGGAGGACAAGCGGAGGCGACCTCTCCAGAGCCATGGACACGATGTCTTCGGGAGAAAACATCCTGGAGACGATATTCTCCTTCCAGCCGGAGCAGGTTGAGGTAAAAATGCCAAGTCATTGATTTATTAAACTTATCTAAATTGTTGTTAAAGTTACCTCATATGTTTTCTGGAAGGGAGAGGTTGTAGAAAAAAAAATAGAAACGAAATCACGTCATAATCCTAATTCTGCAGATTAAGGAAACATATTTTGTTTATACTTTCCCTGTTTATGACTTAAAAAGAAAATTCTATGATGTTTTACGTAACCAATAAATCTTATTATGATTAAAATCAATAAATTTGAACACTTTGTGGTTTCAGTTGTGGTAAAGGAACGAAAGAGTAGTAGAAGAGAAAGTGTTCGTCTGAGATTGAATAAAGCAGAAATTAAAAATTATATTTAACAACTAGTGGAGATGAATGGTCTTCCGGTTTCCCGAATTCAGTGCTCTGCATGAAAACACTCACAGAATTCACCATACCGACACAAGGGCACACACACCACACACTCTAGGGTCACCTCTCCGAAGAAGCCTCATCGGATGAGGGAGTAAATCAAGATGTTCTCAGAAGGCGACCTCTCCATTTGCCACCGGCACTGGCGGATCTACGGGGGGGGGAGGAGGAGGCGACTTTCGGGCTGAAGCCTTTCCAAAATTAAATCCTGGATCCGCTAGTGGCCACCGGAATAGTGGTTTTTTTTTTTTTTTTTTTATTTTAAGGCTTCAACCACTAGGGTCTTTATTGCCTCATTTTCATCTAGAACTAGATTGTATTCTCAAGTTTAGAACATTTCAGAAAAGAAAATAGTTTATCAACCTCATTCCTATTGTTCTGTAAAATGGAGTGTAGATCGTTTGTCAAGTCACAAGAGAGTCTAAATGTTTCGTAAGCTCTGGATTCTGTTAAAATGTGTTTCACTGTCAGAGGAGCCCCACTAGTTTTGCATGTTGGCGAAGAATCACGGGCCATTAGGTATCCATGGGTAAGGCGTGTATGACCTATACGCAGGCGCGTAAGAATTACTTCCTCTCTTCTGTTATTCCTATTTGACGGATAGTTAGCTTGTAACCTGCTTCCCTCAAACTAACATATTATGCGTCCTCAAAGAGATAATGTTGATAGATTGAATGGTATTAGATATCTTGTACATCTTTATATGAGGCCAAGACCCACCCCGGATTTTCACGTAACGAAAATAGATGTATAAAATCATGTTTACTATGATAGCACAGTATTGTAAACAATTTTGTGAAGGATACTTGTTTGTTAATGAAATGAAATGAAATTAATTAAATAAATATTTTATTATTCTGGGACTGTTTTCCCTTTAGAACAAATTATAAGTACAAATTTTATTTCTGTGTGGTTACAATTAGATTATATATTTACAATAAGAGTCGACTAAAAATTAAAATACTGAAGAATAGAAAAAAAGAACAAGAAAATTGTACATACATATAAGAAACTAAAATAACCTAAATAAATTGAGGTAGTCTCTAGGGGTGCTTAGATATTTCTGTTAAGTATATTTTGCGATCAGTCGGTTTGAGAAAGGAGTAGGTGTTTAAAGATGAGAGGTTTGAAAGAGGAAACTGATTGAGCGTGTCGAATATAAGCAGCGATGGAATTCTAGAGAGAGGCGGCTTGTATTGCAAAGGATTTGTCAAACGCAGCAGTTCAGTGAGGAGGAGGATAGAGGTCGGAAGTACGAGATCTAGTGGAATGGGATTGGATGCAGTATTTGAATTGTAAGCTGTGAAAAATATTGGAGGGTCGATGAGTTCTAATGATCTGGTACAGAAAGGTGGCTAGGCAGTACTGACGTCGATAGGATGGATAGAACCACCTCAACTCGGTGTAATACTGGGTAATATACATATCCGTTGAGATTCCGAAAACAAATTGTAGTGCGCACTTCATTAGGCGTTTAAGTTTGTTATTATGATATGTTATTAGTTAATGTGTTATTATGACAAAAAGGAAACTGAAAATTACTACCATAGACGAAGGTAAAATGGATAACGGATGTATGTTGCCTGCAGGTGTTCGTGAACACAGAAGGAGCCCGGGCGGAGGACGTGTCGCTGCGGATGTGCCCCGAGGACGGAGGGTTCGAGCTGTCGGTGGCGCACAGGGAGGAGGGAACGACGGCCAGCGCCCGGAGGGAGGTGCGGCGGCTCTATAACTTCCAGCGGCCGCTCTACTGGAACAGGGCCGTGGCCAACGTGACTCCAGAGGGGGTGCTCCACCTGGTGGTACCCGGCCCCGTCCTCCAGTCCCAGCCCCAGCCCTTCCCCATCGACCCCTGCTTCTGAATAAACGTGATTGTACCCAGTCAAAAAGATAATGTAACCATTAGTGTATCTGTCCTAGAACTCTAGCCTCAGGCATCTATCCTTCTTCACCCTAATACATTCGAATATATTCATCATCAAGATAGTCTATTTTGTTAATAATGGTTAGGGTTTCTTTATGAAACAAACACAGACAATGCAGAAACTTTTATCGTGGAAGAACATTACAAACATAGAAGCCATATCGTGGGAATATACATTGTTGTGATCACTGACCTCACATATGACAGTGTTGCCAGTAACAGTGTTGTTGGTAGAATATACAAATAACATCAATTAATTAATCCTAATATATTTTTAAAAACTCCACACATTATGTTGAAGTAATAATTTATTTATAATTTATTCGCTTGCTTCAAGAACATAGCCATCTCCAACAGGAAAGACCATTTTAATTTTTTTTTTCACGTAGAGGATGTCCTTTCATTATTACTTTCTTTCTAACTAGTTATTAAAATACTAAAAATCTATCCGTTTCTGTCAATCATTCCTACAAAAAGTTTTTATTATATTTATATTTTACTTTTTAAATATTGGGGGAACAACCAGTCGTCTGCCTTGTCTCCTACTGCAATAACCCTATCCCTGAATATGCCCATCGGTTTCTCTACAGGAAAACATCTGTTATGTTAAACAATAAGACCTGACTTTCCATAAACTGATACTAACACTGTATTTTACTGATTGAGTTGGTGCAAAAAAATCAAGGATCATTGATTTGTAGTTCGCAATTCTATTAAGAATGAAGTAAAGAAGCAAACCTTGAAAACCACTTTATAATCTGTGATATTGGCAACCAAAAAGATTAAAACATGTCTATTTTTACGCAAGTTCATATTAGGTATATTAAAAAAAATTGAGGATAACATAATTAATTTCGTAGTTTTACAGATGGTTAACAACAGGAGTCAAGCATTTGCACATTCGTTGGCAGGCGCTAACTGGGTGAGATTTATTTTATGAGTCCACCAAGAAATAGAAGTCAACATTCCTGATGCCATACGAATAGAAGTCGCCACCAGTTATGTTTTAAGAATAAGATGTTCAGGAGAGTCCAAAAAGGGGTTACATGGCGCAAGCTGCGCCATTAAAATTTTTTAGGGGAGAGCCCGTTTTGACGGGATTGAATTTTCGTAATGAAAAGTTTTAACCAGGTAACAAGGGAAACGGACGGGACCACCGGCAAGTGTAATTATATATGATCTACATTTTTAAATTATTTTTCTTTAGCTTTAGCTTGCACTGTTTTTAAGAAGAGTAAAGCAATAATATATAGTGGAAAGAGGAGGGGGAAGATTTATGCGCATCGACCTTGGGGGGAGATAGACACTCCTGAAGATGTTATTCCGACACAACTGTTCACTGAAGAAGTTGAAATTAATTATACGAGAGGCAGAATTGAAAATGTGCTCAATAGTGAACTTCTAGGCAAATTATTTTGTTAATATTAGAAAAAGTTATCTTTCTTTGTAAAGTAGATAGAGGTTAAATACTCGTTTGTCATGACTGCTGCAATAAAAGTAGATTCTTAAATTATTAACTATAGTTTACTATAACCTTAAGGCCTTAGCGGATCCAGGATTTAATTTTGGGAGAATCTTCAGTCTGAAAGATTTTTTTTCATAAAAATAATGATAATTACTTTGGAAAAAAATAAAGAAACTAACTACCTGTATGAAATGGTGTTTAAGTGATTCCTAAAGTACTTTTAAATGTAATTATACGAACAATAATACTATGAGAGATCAATTTTTTCCATAAAAAATGGTTATATTTTTACCATTTTGGGGGAGAGGGCTTCAGTTCCAAAGCCTCCCCCCCCCCGTAGATTCGCCCGTGCCTTAAGGCCTTCTATAATAGTGTTTGACTTGGTGGATTTAAATATTAAAACTTTTACTCGAAGATCTGAATTATTTTTTTATTTTTTTTTATTGAAAATATTTTTATAACTGTATTACAAGTAAAAATACATTCAGTAAATGAGAACAAAGAAATAAAATAGCAAGAAATCACATGTTGAGAAACTATCCATTGGTAGCACTCTAAAAATGTATTTACAAAAGGAGATCTCGAGGCCATCTTCTTTTCAGACGCCTCTGAGGGTTGTCAAGGATCGAAGAGGAAGCAAGGTTAGAAACGAGAGGGTTTTCATGGTTCTGAAGTTTGTTATGGAAGGATAGGTATCTGGATTGGGGCAAGTCAGAAACTTTAGGAACATTAAGGTCGTTATGGATGATTTTGTTTGTGACAAAGTAAGGAGCAGTGAGGATTTTACGAAGGATTTTGGATTGTAAGGATTGGATACGAGAGGAATTCGATGGCTTAGTGGAGCCCCAGAGCTCAACTCCATAAGTCCAAATAGGTCTTATTGTAGTCATGTATATGAGTCTTTTGTAATTGACTGGGAGTTTAGAGCGATTGTCTAGTAAGTGCTGGAGTAGTCGGAAACGTCGAGCTGTTTCTTGTCGTTTCAGTCTGGTATGAGGATTCCAAGTTAGACGTTTGTCTAAGTGGAGTCCAAGGTATCGAATTTGTTCAACAGGGATAAGTGGGGTAAAGAATTATTAAAAACTTATTCACATCATCAGTTTAATTTAATTCAACACAGAACTTTATTACCTCAAAAATTCTTTAGAGAAAATAGGCTATGAAAATGGAGAACATTTTCTGAACCAAGTGCGAAAAATGAAAATGGACACCACTAATTCAAGATTGCTAAAATAATTCTGACGTGTTATTCCTGTGTGTTTATTTGTTTTATTCCGTCCTTCCTTCCTTCAACAAGGATTTTGGATTTTGGCAACAAGGTATATCATCAATAAAAGTTCAACAAATTTTAAACTCAATGTTTTGTTGTTTTAGTTCAGGTCCTCATCTCCGGCCTTTATATACTTTCCTGCTTCTCTTCTTTCCGTCAGTCTTTCAGGAGATCTTTAGAAAATTGTATCTGATTTTCTTTCTAAGTATTATTTGGTGAGAAAGTGACAATTTAAAAAGGTGAGCTCTAAATTTGACTTTCAACTTTAATTTTCTTTGATTTACAAAATGAAACCCTATCTTCCCACTCTAGATGGAACGGTAACTTACAAATAATCATCTGTCCTTCGTACCCGAAATGTAGAGCATTAGGACTTTAAATAAAATAAACGATCCTCATTATCGATTCTCGTTATCAGTGATGACCTTGCGATATGTTGGTACCTATTTGAACTATCAGATATGGTGGTTTGATATAAACAGTTTCTATTGTTATTGCACGCTATAGCGATGACGTGTCATGATAAGTTAACTCTAATTGCTGTCACTAGAACTGGGTTTGATACCGGACGGAATATCGATAGGCTGAACTCTCCTCGTAGCAGCTATGGCATACGAGTATTTACCCTCTATCTACTTTACAAAGAAAGGTAACTTATTTTATTTTTAACAAGCTAATTTGGGTTGAATTTTGCTGTTAGGCACATATTCAATTCTGTCTTTGGTTTAAATAATTTTAACTTATATACAAATCCATAGTGACAAATTGTGTTGGGGGTAATATCTCACAGTTAAGCCAAAAAGGGTACTAATTGGCATCCGGCATGTCACTGTTGACTTCTATTTTGCGGTGGACACACAGAATCACGGGCGGATCTACTGGAAGGGGGGAGGGCTTTCGAGCTGAAGCCTCTCCCAAAATGGTAAAATATAGCCATGTTTTATAGAAAAAAATATTTAAAAAAGTATCTCTTAAAGTATTATTGTTTGTGTAATTACATTTAAAGGTGCTTTAGGAATCACTTAAACAGCATTTCATACAGGTACTTAGTTTCTTTCTTCTTTTCCAAAGTAATTATCGTTATTTTTATGAAAAAAACAGCTTTCGGGATGAAGCCCTCCCCCCCAATTAAATCCTGGATCCGCTGGTGCACAGAATCAGCGGTGTCCAGAAAGGGATTTCATGGTGCAAATTGCGCTATCAGAATTTTCGAGGGGGGCACATTTTGATTGGGTTTTGAATTTTTACGGGGGAAGGGAGGGTAGCTAGCACATTTTGACAGGGTTATGAAGTTTGGAATCAAAAGTTTCAAACCAAGGGACAATTTTTTAAATTCTGTTTTCGTTTGCATTGTTTTTAAGAAGAGGAGAACAATAGATATCTTGAAAGAGGGATGAGGCTCATGCGCCATCGTCCTTGGGGGGAGGGCACCCCTGCACCGAACAAATTTCAATCTTCTTACGGTAGAATAGAATAGATTTAGAAATGTATAATGACTCCTGATTTTCACTATCTATACTGCTGCAAAACCATTTTCTTCTGGAATTGCTTGAATATAACTTAAGAAACTACTTGCAATTTTTCGGGCTTTGCTCTTTACTTGATTTAGAGTGGAATCGTCAACAGATTCTAGATCAGATAATAATCAAATCCCGTCCAGTTTTGAAATGTCCAATAGCTATATTTGGCATATAGACCTTAAGATTTTTCATAAAAATCGAAAAACAAAAAAAAAGTATCTGCTCGACCTTTTTATTTAGATTTGAGCCTTCTATTTGTTTTACAAAATTACAAAATTACAAATTACAAAAATGTTGATAACTTCATGATAACAAACATTAAAATGGATAAATTAATGTCCTATAAACTACACGGAACGGTACAAATAAGAGAACCGTAAATAAATTAGAGCTGAATATATAAAATAAAATATGTTAAGGATTTTTTCCTATTTATTCTTTATAAAGACGTCAAATCTAAGATGTATCTTATCGATATGGTTTGGTAGGGCAATAATTCAGCTTTCCGGCGTTTGCAGTGACGTTGAATTAGGAAAAAAATCTGAAGAGTTATGAATGCTTAACTAAGTGGAATGAAAAAAATTTCCTCCTATGAAATCAAATCCAAAAATTTATATTGTTTCATTTCAAAGTCAATTTAAGAGTTTTAAAAGGCGCTAGAAACGAATCTGAACTAGTTTTTCATGCCAAAAATAACCCTGCTTTACTGAAAACGTCTACTCGTTTTTATAATTTATTATACATCATAACTAATACCATATACTTCCCTGTATGCTGCATGATTAGTCGGAGTAAATTGTTTTGAATGTAAATCAGAATTCATGTAGTCCATTTATTATTGGGGTCACTGTAATCGACGTGCAGTTAACTTGTTGCAGATGCAGAGGAATTAACGACCAAACATATAAAAACAAGTACAAAAGTGACCGCATTGTACCAAGTCATCGAGCCAATTCTGTTACTGATGCGCCTTGCTGGCAGGTTTCCTTACGTGGTCAACCCAAGTAATGTCTGTTTATTTTAAATGATATTTTAATATATTGTTTTATATTATATATTTTAGAGAATGCATACCTTCCAAAGTTCATATTTTTGAGTAAATAATGATAAGAGACTTGGTGAGTGTTGTGGGACAGGTCCTAGGAAATACTTGCACTTCGGGTGGGTGGTGTACAGCGCGGTGTTTGCCGTCCTCCAGATCGGCGGTGTCTATTACACCTCTCTCATCGCCATCCGCCTCAGCGACAACTTCGACGATAAGATCTTCGCCACCGTGACGGCCATCATCTGCTTCATCCTGGGGCTTACCCCCTTCCTCACTTGGGTGGAGGCTCCCTTGTTCTGCGCCTACCTCGACAAGTGGACCACTTATCAGGTTGGTTCAGCTACTAAATACTACTGCTGCTACTAACTGGTGGAATGATTTATAAAAGGTAGAATGGGGTTCTCCTGTAAGTAGTGCAATGGTTTCTTAAACTCAATTAAAAATACACCTTGTCTCATTAGATTTTCACTAGAAAAAACATTTCTGGGTTTCGATAGAGTGTGGATCATATCCAGGTTAATGTTTCTACTCTAGAGTAGTCTACTTAAACCTTAATTAGACATTAATTCGGGAATACAACAGGTATTGGATTCGCAGCACTTCTACCGATAACACTGAACGTCAGAAATCTTGTAAACCTTATTAGTTTGGGATCTGCACTCTTGGGTCTCCATGAACAATAGAGTACTTTCATTTTACAATCGTTATTTAAAAGCTTCAATATGAACTCGGTAATTATTCACCAACAATTACTACGACATATTTATTCGTATTACTCAATTAATAATATTTTGTATCATTATCTTTAAAAATAACTTACCAAGAAAACTTATTTTTTTAGGATGAGTTGCAGTTGTTTGACGTGTTCTTGGACATTCGACTTCAGAAGTGGTTGCTCCTGTGTATATTTGCGCTGATTCCAACAACGAGCATCATATCGTACTTCCTGGACGTTCGAGGAGGAAATCCTATTGCTTTCCCATTCTATCTCCTACTCCAGATCGGTTCCTACCTCGTCCTTACCTTATGGTTCTTCATGATATTCTTCATCGAGGACACGGCCTCTCGTCTCCTCGCCTGCATTGGAGACGCCACTATAGGACGAGAGGTTGCCACCCTCAAGAAGCTGTGGCTTACCCTTGCCAATCTCACCGTCGAATTGGGACAAGTCTTCAGTTTAACCTTGATATTGTTTATGATCACCTGTAGTTTAATCGGAATCACTAACAGCTACTCTCTGTTGTTCATCTTACGGGATTGCTTCAGTGGTAATTGTAGCACTTCTGCCTACCGGAATATTCCTATAGTGACCCAAGTGGGATTCTTGATCGTCTCTGCTTTCATAATAATAGCCATTTGTGAAAATGGACACCGATGTACTGTTTCCGTAAGTTTAATTTTATTAGTCTATTATTTTTGTAAACAAACATTTTTTTAACTTCTTTACAAACATTTTAGGTGGGCTCAAATTTTCTGAAGGAAGTATTGAAAATTAATTTTTCTCTTAGAAATGAAAATACTCAACGGGAAGTGAGTGGTCGATCGTTTTTTTTTGTTCAAGAAACTATTTATTTTTACTTACCCATATATGTAATATATAGTAATTGTAAGTATTACGTTCGTGAAAATTTTTGAATCTGAGTTTTCAGCGGAAATATTCACGTTTTGAGGTCCCCTGGGTCTAAATGACCTAGTCCCGAAAAATGGTCTGTGTGTATGTGAACACTCTATATCGAAACCGAAAAGTCTTACGAAACTGATATTACATATTTAAGATAGATATATGCCTTAGATGTCCTGGCAACTTTTTCCTTAAAATCGGCCTACCGGAAGTGCCACTTTATATCAACGCTGAAACACATTTTTACAATTTTCTCAAAAACAGCACTAACAATTTTGATTAAACTCGGTGTATTATTGCATAATTAAGTGCTCTTTAATATCATTTAGGTCTTATCCCCGTTGATGCCACTTCACAGGGCTTAAATGCCTAATGTTCATATGCGTCTTCCTCTAAAGCGCTTTTAATATGGTTTATTTTAAATAATCAACTATCTCTCACTAATAAAAGTTACGAATAAATGCTAAATATAACTTTTGAAAGAATTTGATAATTGAATAAAGGAGAAAAAAAAAATGCTTATACAGTTCGAAAATGAATCTTCGGAAAGACAAGTCAGAAAGTATACTAATAATATATTGTTGGGAAGTTGAGAATTTTAGAAAAAAAAAACAACATCTAATATAGAAAGTTGTAGAAGGTAACGGAGAGTGGCGAAAAAATTATAAATAATAACGATGTAGAGATGGTTGACCGTTGATATGATATGACAAGGAGTTAGTCGAGGGTGCGGTCAAATAAATAAAAAAATTAAAATATATAAATAATTTTAATTTTTGCCGACGTTTCGACCCACTTTGCAGGTCGTCTTCAGGGCGTATGATGTGGCACTGCGGGAGGCAGTTGAAACACTGCTTGTTTCAAGTATCGTAGAAGACGACCTGCAAAGTGGGTCGAAAGGTCGGCAAAAATTAAAATTATTTATATATTTAAATTTTTTTATTTATTTGACCGCACCCTCGACTAACTCCTTCTCATATAAATAATAACATGTTTGCAAGGAAATTAAATGAAATTTTCTTACTTAACGTAAACTTTTAACAAATTTTTAAAGTTTGAAAAAGTATTTAAAACCCACGGATTCCAGACAATGACATTGTTTAAGATACTATTTCATTGTACTTGTGTGAAAGAAGAAGTGAAATATAAAAATATTTCATGGATACCTTTATAATCTTAAATATATTTACTGTAGTTTAATGACTCTAGATCTGACATTATATTTAAATAATTAGGTATCTTTCGTCCGTTTATTCCGAAAAATCATTATGCAACCTTTTAGAAAATTAAATTAGTGAATAATTTAATAAATTTTCCCTTTGCAATATTCCAACAGAATCCACTTACAATCGGAGTGACAACTTTTGACCTGTCCAAGACACAGACTGCAAATCTTTGTATTCCGTTTTAGAAAACTTTGCAATGGAAAATAACAGTTTAATAACTAATAGTCATACAATTTATAATCAACGGATCGTACAATCCATAATCAACGAATCGTATAATAACGTAATCAACCGGTGATATAATAAATAGGACTTTTGTTATTTTAATAGTATTTATGATTTGTTAGCTGTAAGCTTTTAGCTTTAGCTTGGTTAAAAACGCAATTTTTTTTGCTCCTCCTGGGTTTTCCCGGGCCAGGATGTGTGGGCGGGGATTTAAAAGACTCCCTTGGCACCGGGACGCGAACTTGTGACTATTTTTATGTCATTTGATTCAAATATCATATATCAGGTTGCCGGGCAACGGCGGTGCTGTGCACATTCGTTAGCCCATTCGGCCATCCCGCCTATTTCTATTCAAAGTTGAGCGGTAAGTGAAAGTTGTTTGTTGCGTCCACCACATTTTTTAGATGTTATTTAATAATTTGGATACATTTATTTTTTGATGTCCCTGGGTGATCATGAGATCCCTAGGATATACCCTAGTGATCTCATGATCACTCTGGTTCACCTTCATTGCCAAGTTGTCCAGATGAGGCGTTGAAATTTCATCCGAATCTAACTTCAAAGTAGATCATCACCTCAGATTGAGGAATTCTCTCACCTGAGGAATTCTTTCTCATCTGAATTTGTGAAACTGAGCCTAGTCAGTATTTCCTTTCCGAATGATGGACTGGTCTATATTTAAAAAATGGTCTTCTCTTGTTCTTGTTTATTTAATCATTAGTATAACATTCTGTCACACGGACACTAATTCCAGTTAGGTAAGAAAACATTCACAGCGTATACATACAGGAAACATATAATAGGCACAAGCAAAATAACAACTAAATAATAATCATAAAGTATATACAATAAAAAATAAATAACTTATAAGATAAAATAACTTATAAAGCAATTAAAAAACACAGTCATACCTATATTTATAATGAGGCAGAGAACCCGAAACCAGGCTTGTCCCTCCAATTACAGAGATCCCTGCGCCACTGGTGACAGACATACACTCATGCCTTGAGTGGATAGTCTGGCCATTTCCAGAACTCCTGGCTAGACGCTACTGGCGTTTTAACCTTCTTGGCTAGATAGGCATTGTGCAAAGGATTTGGATATATATATACTAAATTTACGAATTCCATAAATGGTAGGATTCGTTTTTGGAGGATCTTTTCAAGAATTCTATTGAAATTTTGAAAAAATTTCTGGAGTAAGGTCTGGAACAAATGGGATGTTGAGGTCATGGCATAAGTTTTTGTTATAAAAAACGGACCATCGTCTACTGTTAGAAGGACTTTGGACTGAAAGGATTGGGTGCGTTTGATGTTAGAAAATTTTGCTGTTCCCCAAAGTTCCAGCCCGTAGGTTTCCCAATTGGTTTCAAAATTGTCTTGTAGATCAGTAATATTTGTCAATTGAAAGTTGGGATTTTCTAGTCAGTATTTTGTTAAGTTCTTGTATTTTAAGTCTAGTATGTGTCTTCTTCTTCACCTAAAAGAAAGCCAAGATACAGCACTGTTTCTGAAAAAAGAAGCTGGTTGAGTAAATTAACTGCTGATGGGTGATGTATGGGATTCTTGAACTGTTGTGGTGTGAGTGGGGTTGGAATCTGGATGAGAGGTGAATGTGCAGAAAAGGTGTTTGACGAATTCTTCCGCTTTATCTTTATCAGACGCTGGCAAATTCCTGCGTTATTCGTTTATATCAATAATTATAGAAGCGGCGATCGGTGGGCGGTGTTAATTTTAATAACTTTAAAATTACCGGAAAATCTAATACTATTCATTGCTTATAAGGTTCGTTTATTTGACGTAGCTACGCGCCTTGGTCCAGACCATCTTGCTGAGGTACCCAGATATGGCTCTAGGTGGATATTTTACCGTCAACAGGAGACTCCTCACGACTGTAAGAAATATAATACATATTGCAGTGCACTGTACCAAAGTATAATATAATAGCAACAAATTTTATATAATAGCAATATAACACAAAATAAATATTAAAAAATCAATATGGCTTGTATTTCTCGATAATATCAACCACTAACTGAATTATGCATCAAATGTTGATGCATAATTCAATAGTAATTGATTTTATCAAATTACTTTTGTACTAAAAGCACTCACTTTCCTATATTTGATCTTACATTTTAATGTATTATATGAACAAAAGCATTCTCTTGATTGTTGATAGTTGAATAAAGAGGAGTTGTGATTTATTCCAGATGGTGACTTCAGCAATAACCTACTTGATAGTGCTTCTTCAGTTTAGGTCAACGGGTGGTATTAAATCATGATCATTTTAATTTTTATAGTTTCAATAATTTTATATAACTCTGTACTAAATAGATATTACTGTAAATTACTTATACAATAAATAAAATTGTGATTGAGTGTCTCCAACACTGTCATCACCACCTATGCCGATGACACGTGTATCCTATCAGTTAATAACGATCCTTTAATTGCATCCCAAACTCTTTAATCACATATCACAAGCCTTGAAGAATGGTGTAAAAATTGGAGAATAAAAATAAATTCCAACAAATCCCATCAAATCACCTTTACCCTCCGTCGTAAACCTATGACCTCTTGTCCTACAGTATCCTTCAATAATACTCCACTTATTCCTGTTGAGCAAATCCGCTACTTAGGACTCCACGTTGACAAACGACTCACTTGGAACCCCCATACCAGACTGAAACGACTAGAAACTGCCGACGTTTTCGACTACTGCAGCACTTACTAGACAAACGATCTAAGCTTTCAATCAATTATAAACGACTCGTATATATGACAATAATAAGACCTATTTGGACTTACGGAATTGAGCTTTGGGGCTCCACTAAACCATCGAATTCCTCTCGTATCCAATCCTTACAATCCAAAATACTCAACGCTCCTTACTTTGTCACAAATAAAATCATCCATAAAGACCTTAATGTTCCATATGTTTCCGATCTGGCCCAATCCAGATACCTTTCCTTCCATAACAAACTGCAGAACCATCCGAATCCTCTCGTTTCAAAGCTTGCTTCCTCCTCGATCCCTGATAACCCTCCGAGGCGTCTGAAAAGAAGATGGCCTCGGGATCTTCTAATATAGAACTTTAATTTGAGTTCTACCAATGGGTAGTTTCTCTTCATGTTGTACATGCCATGTTACAAATTTCTCATTTACTTATTGTATTCTCTGTGTAATACAGTTGTAAATTCCATTAAAATAATAAAATAAAAAAAAGTGATTGAGTGTCTAATAAATATTGAAAACAATGTTAAAAACTTTAGGCTCTTCGCTTTCCCACTAATATATAAATATATTGATATTTATATGATTCTAACATTTTTTCGTGATTTTTTCCTAACTTTCCCAAATAATTAATTCAGGTTCATGTGCATACGATAAAAGCCTTTAAAACGATGCAAATTTAATTTTGAAAGTTTGATTATAGAAATGTTTAAATTTCTACAGGCTCCAAATTACGATTGTAGCTTGAATCATGTTAAACCTTTACATACAACAAATTCACCTTGAAAATTAAATTGTTTTCTATTTAATGAACGAATGTTTTGGTCAGTAGAGATAGAATCGGTATTTAACGGTAATGAAACTTATTGAGAATAGGTACTCAAGACTGTGATGAAGATGAAGTAGTACAATATATGTAACAACTGATATAATTAATAAATACAAATAAATATAATAAACAAATACGGCGCTGATATCCAAATCAGTTTCCTCTTTCAAACCTCTCCTCTTCAAACACCTACTCCTTTCTCAATCCGTCTGTTTATACGAATGAATTATCATGAATAATCGAATGAATGAAAGTATATGAAATATACCTAAGAGAGCTATCTAAGTACCCCCAGAAAATATTTCTGTTATTTTAGTTTTATCTAAAATAAAATGCGTTTGTATTACATATGTACGTTTTCTGCCTTTTTCTCTCTCTTCTTATGTATTTTTACTTTTAAATAACTAATATTGTAAAGATTCATTTTATTTATGACCACATGTTCAGTACTTGTAATTTGTTTTAAAGGGACAACATTCCCAGAATAATAAAATATATTTTCATTTATTCATTCACTATTTTCAACTAAGAAATAGCAAACCACAGATAAACGAATACAAATTTCAAACTTATCTCATAAAGAAAAGCAATAAAAAAAACTCATTGAAACACACACCAAGATTGATTTATTAAAAAATCAACTGCTAATCGACTATTATGGTACATCACTTGAGGTTCAGTTTAAATTATGGGTACAATTTAAAGCATTTTGTTCTCTTGCAGCAATACTATAAACTACTTTTATATATGATTAATTAACTACTGAAAAATAATATTATCCTATTACAATATATAATTTTACATTATATATATTTAATACAAATATCTCTACATACGATACGTTTTCTTAATCTTCAATTAAGTTATCATATGAATTTATCTCGCTGTGAACAAAAGAATATAAAACAAAAAAAAATAATAGATAAATAAAAATAATCATAACTAAGAAGAGATAAGATTAGATATGAAGCTAACAGGAGTTGGCAAAGCCTGTAATTACCTGCATGGCCTTAACGATTTCGCAACAAATGATGCAAACAACACGCGACCTCCTCAATGCATCTCCCTGTTGAATCCACTGCGACACGATAAAGCAACATGTGGGGATCTCGTGTCAGCTTTTTTTTCATCATATAATATTATCAAATACTACATTCATAGTTTTTTATAGTAAAATAGTTTTTGTTATTGAATTTAGTGAAGATAAATTCACACAATTTCGGATAGACTCCTAAACTGATCTGTTTGTGGTTTGAACCATTCAACCACCTCCTTGAATTCCTTGAGAACAAGGACATAGCCAGAAGGGGGCTATTATTTAAAAGGGGTGGGGAGCAATTAAGGTAAATGTGCCGGTAATAGGCTTTAAGAGAAATTTTCTACATTAATCTGAACCACAGCTTTAGTTCTGACGGTGGATGGGTTAATTGAAAGCAAATTTAGTATTTTATTGCATTTTTTTATTACACTGTAAACTATTTAATTGTTCATGAAACACTTAAGAATTTCTGAAAGCTTATTTTGCACCAGGAATAAACACCCATTTTTTGGGGGGAAACAGGTTTTGATATAATTAAAAAAAAAAATTCTGCAAAGTTTTAACCTAAGAAATAGCAATCTACAGATGATTGAATAAATATTTCAAACTTATCCCTTAAAGAAAAGTAATAAGAAAACCTCTTTGAAACAAATCCCAGCGTTTATTTATTGTGAAGTCAACTGCCAATGGTCTATTGAGGTTCAGGCATCACTCTTCCAAGTTTATTAACTGCAAATCAACTCATATTTGTACTCTCTATAGGGTGTGTATAAAGCTTATTATCTGTTAATGAATTGAAGACTGTCTATCACCGGTACAGTGCCTGTTACTATCTGGGTCTTGTTCTCTACACTCCCTTCACCGCTGACATCCTTACAAATCCCGATACCCTTCTAGCAACATTCGCTGACGATACTGCAATCCCACTCAGACTATGATGTCAGACTATCAGTCTCAGACTATCCCACTCAGACATGTTTTTTAAGATTTGTCTTCGGCACTTCGAGATAGTCTCGTGTGTCCCACCTATATGCCGAGTCAAAGTGGCTCTTCCCCTCTTCCCGCCGCCTATACTTCCTTGGAAATTTCTTATACCAAACGATCAACTCCCAGCACCCTTCCTATATCTACTGTCTCCTCCAGCCGAAACCTTCAGTCCACTCAATAAAAACGAGATCCCGTGATTCTGACCTCTATATTCCATTCCACAAGACAAAAACCTATGAACGTTCCTTCTTAGCCCGCTCCGTCACCTACTGGAATTCTTTGCCACATAACATCCGTCATGCCTCTTCATTGTCAATCTTCAAATACCTCCTTTTCCAATATCTTCTTACATCCCAAACAGACGATTCGCAAACATAAATTTCATTTTATGAACTTAATTTGTGAGAAGTAAATGGCGATGCCTACTGTTTCAGTTTTAACATAAAACAGCAATGACCTTTGACTATTATTTTTGGTATTTATTTGTATTTCTCTTCACCTCAGGTTGTGCTTTTTCTTTCGGGTATATATGTTTATATTTTATACTTTTTGTCTCTCTGTGTACCAATATGAGTAAGTACGTTTATATATAGTTCCTTTTTTTACATTTATACCACAATTAATCCTGAGATTTTATTTTATCTTAGTGTTTGCCTATTATTATATGAATCACTGTAAATATTATTACATTTTGTATTAAATTATTTTTTCTATTAGTGAGCCTATTGTTTATAAATTGTGCAGTTATGTATACATAGATATGTAATTTCTTTTCTTTCTTTTTTTTTTTCTCATCACTATAATGAGTAATATTGAGAAGATTGTATGTTCATTTATATATATAATATATATATATATTTTATCTTTTTTTGTTTATTTCTTAGTGGTTACATACTACTTTTTAAATAATGTATATAATGTTTAAATTTTTATAAGTCAGTTTTTGGCCAGATTTGTATTTTATTTTGTATTAATTCATCTTTATTATTCTAAGGGAACTTAGTCCCAGAATAAAGTTTTATTTTCTATTCTATTCTATTCTATGAAATAGCATTCCTTAATCTAAAAAGACACATCTCCATGATTGAGCAGTGGTGGAATAATTGGTGCATCAAAATCAACGAATCTAAGCACGTCACCTTTATCCTCCGACGCATGACCAATAATTCTTTTCAACAATATACCTATCTTATATAAATAGTTCGGGATCTTGAGTTAATTTTAGACAAAAGACTAACATGGAACCCTTATACCACACTTAAAAGACAAGAGCTTAACAGACGATTTGGCCAGTTACAGACTACTTAACAGAAACTCAAATTTCTCAATTAATAAAAATTATTAATATACCAGACCATACTAAAACCCACCTGGACCTACACGCTTGAACTGTTGAGTACAGCTAAATTTTCAAACATCAAACTCATCCAATCCTTCTAGTCTAAAGTCCTTGGTACAATAGTACAATGCCCCATGTTATGTAACTAACAAAGCTTTACACCATGACCTCAACATCGCTCGTGTCCTCGACGTTATTTCATCCCGATTCCCAATCAGAACCTTTTACACCATCCTAATACAATCTTTATCCAGCTCCAGTCATCACTACAATCCTTCTTAAACGTTGAGACGGAATAAATTAATTTAAAAAAATATATTTATTATCAATATGGCCCCTCTCGAGAAGGAGCCCATCATAGCTATCCGCGTAGGTTTGTTTATTTCTTAGATGGAACCTCGCAAAATAATTCTTATAATTATGATTCACTTAAAATTATAATGATTATAACACTCGTAATTTCAATGAAAATGATGTGATCTTACTGGGTATCATTTTTCAATCCCGTATACTTTGTATACCGCAAGCAATACCCATAATTTAAAACATTTCGTTCACCAACATCAACTTAACTATCATATCCTATTGCAACTATACTATATATCTAAGCAAACAGCAACACAGCCGATACAAAAGATGTCAACAAACATTCAAAAACTGAAGGCTGTGACTCAGAGGGATAAGACAGCATTGCTCCGAGATAGTTCTAAAATCACGAATGAATAATTGTTTTAAAAAATCATATGTCAAACACTCTCTTAAAAAAAAAAGACATATGTTCATTGGTATATTTGAAATAACTTTAGTAATAATTGCGAAGGTAGAAGTATCAATATTAAATTGAAAATTATCAAAATGGATCACCATCTTCTCGAAGAAGCCATTGTAAGTGACGTGCCAACTATAAATACCGGGACTGTACACCAGTATTATGGCGAACTATAGTCTAAATCAGTGCCGGTTCGATCCCGTAACGTGGGTTGTTGCGTTACTTGTTTGTTGACGTCATAAATATCACGTTAATCAATTTTAATAGTACGGTTAATTTTATTAGATTGATAATTGGTGAAATTATAGTTGATATAATATTGCCAGATTAAAAATATTTGATACCCAATCCTCTTATCATCAGCAATAAATAATCTTTATCCTTTTTTCTATACTTTCCAAATTCTTCTAAAGTTTTCTTTCTATAGATTACGGTGAATAGCTGTCCTATTTGTCCATGTGGTATACCCACCTATTTAATGGTCGTCCTCCTGGCATTCATTCTACATGCCCTTAGCTAACACTTTTTAATAAATGTTACAATGTGTTACTCCTTGAACATATGTCCCAATAAAATATTGGATTGGCAAATATGTCCTTTTGGTTTTTGAGGGTGAAATAAAACTCAATGTACTATAGACATAAACTTTATTTTAATCTACAATATATTGACCACTATTTAATATGACTTTTTCCTATATTTCCACTAACTGCATAATGCCATGTTCATAGAACGTCTGGAGTTTATTATTAAAAAACTACTCCAAGTTGTTTTTGATGTCCTGGGATTTCTTTTCATTTATGCAACTATGCAGAGACCGGAATATGTGGAAGTCACTTGGAGCTAGGTCTCGTGAATAGGGTAGGGCAAAAAACCCAATCCAAGGCTCAATAATTTATTGCGAGTGACCAATGAGGTATAGGGCCTTGTCTAGGGATCTTGGTATTCACAACAACCTTCGAATTTGCCAGTTCTGGGCGTTTATATTTATTGAATTGATCCAGTTTTGTTAATTGTGAGCAGTATAGAGTTGAATCAGTATGAGTTGTCATGATGGCAATAGCTCATAGAAAATATCCCACCACATGCATTCTTTGGATGCAATCCCAGTTTTGATATTCTTCTAGGAGCCTCAGTCAGCAGCCAAGATTTTCTACGGACTACATTATCGTAAAATATCCATTGTTCATCTCCTCTTACAAAACCATTTCATAAATGGGTCGTTTTGTTGGCATTTCTGTAGTAAATCACAAACAGAAATGCATACTGCCAAGTTGACTTCGGTTAGAGAGTGAGGGGCCCAAACATTAAGCCTGGAAACATAGCCGAGCTTGTGCAAATGGTTTTTATGCTTGTGTGCGACACATTTAGGGCTATAGCAATCTCTCGCTACCAATCTGTTTGAGTGGGATTTTGATCAAAAATAGCCTTAACATTGCTCGTTTCAATTTCATGTGGGCAACCAGACCGTTGACCATCAATAATGAAATATTGATTGAAATAAAATACGAATGAAATTTGGCAAACCAATTTTGACAGGTGCGCTCGATTAAGGGATCATTCCCATAAACACTGCGAATTTTTCTATGAGATTCTTCAGCACGCTTACCTTTTTTAAAATAATACATCAAAATATTCCAATAATGAATGATGTTTTCTTTCATATTCACAGTGCAATAGAAAACACAATACTAAGCTATTTTCAATAAGAGTTAACCGATATAGATATGGGCATATTACAAACAGGTTAAACAATCCACCTTAGGGATTAATTCATCAGATAAGAAGTGAATCATAGTGAAATAAAAATAAACAGAAAAACTGAAAGGACTTATTTGCCAATCCAATATATCAGGACTTAAGCTCTGCTTTTATCTCTTCTATCACCTCATTTTTCTTCCTAATGAGAGTCCCTATATATTTGAATTAGTTTCCTGCCTACAGGACGTTGACAAATTCTGTACCGGATTTAGACATTTGGCACCCCCGACAACGATATCATCTCTTCCATCCTCCCGAAAAAGAAAATTAAATTTATTTCTTGAGCTGTTTCATATTATTTAATATTTGCATCTTATGCCATTCAATATTGCTCTAATATGGTTACTTTATTGATAGGCAAAAGTAATTACTTTGATTCGTTTATTATTATTTTTTAATTTTTGAGAAATGGCGAGCGCCTGAAGATGAGTGTCCCCAACGGGCGCCCCACCAGGTCGGCCTCTGCAGCGATCGCCCGGGGTTGTCCCGTCCTAAGTCCGGCACTAGATCAATTCTTATTCCTGGCTCCATCCTTGCTGGCCCTTTCAAAGTCTTCATACCAATAGTTTGTTTTCATTGATAGGTAGATACAATTTACTTGCTGACGTCTCGAATTCTTTAAAAAAAAAACAGCGAGGGGCCTATTATAGATATCGCCGTTAGTACAACGTCATCAGCACATACTGTTCCATATAAGTTATATTGCATACAGATTCATTTCAATTGCTAGAAATTACACACACACACACAAAAAAAAAAAAGAATCAGCTACCTTTGGTTTCCTTTTCTTAAGTCATCTCGGACTGAAAATTGATTATATGGTCTATTTTATATATACAGTCTGATTACAGAGTTTCATTCACATTACATTTTTTTTTTAAATTTATTTATCATATCTACAACTTTTGGATATTAAGGATTGGATATGTGAGGAATTCGATGGCCTTGTGGAGCCCCAAATCTCTACTTCTTAAGTCCTAACATTTCTTAGGTGTATTCATGAATATGAATCTTTGACAATTAACTGAAAGCTTAGAGCTCTTGTCGAGTAAGTACTGGAGTAGTCGGAAACGTCGAGCGGTTTCTTGTCGTTTCAGTCTAGTATGAGGATTATAAGTTGACGTTTGTCTAAGTGGAGTACAGGTATGGGATTTGTTCAACAAGGATAAGTGGGGTAATATTAAAGGATACTGTAGGACAGGAGGTATTATACGTTTACGATGAAGGGTAAAGGTGATTTGACGGGGTTTATTGGAATTAATTTTAATCCTCCAGTTTTTACACCATTCTTCAAGCTTTGAAGGGTGATTGAAGAGTTTGGGATGCAATTGTTGTTTCGTTATTAACTGATAGAACACATGTGTCATCGGAATACGTGGTGATGACAATGTTAGGATGGGTTGGGATGTGTGCTGAATAAACTTTGTAAAGGATAGGATTTAGGATACTACCTTGAGAAACACCAGCAGACTGGGATATCAATATTCAAAATTACGTATCCTACTCTAAAATACTCTACTATTTATTATTTTCACCATAAAATATTAAAAAATTAATATATAAAGTTTTGAACTCAGGGAAAACGCATCGTGTCTCAGCTTGAGAGCATTGTGAAGAACGTTAACATATTACGAACCTTTATTTATGTTAAGCATTTTGCTATAGCACAATTTTAATTGATATTGGACAATTAAAAAATATTTTATATTAGAAAATATTAAATCTCCAATCTAAACCTTCTTTTTATTTTTAGAATAGAATAGAATAGAAAAATCATCTTTATTCTGGGAATAGGTCCCTTTAGAATAACAGTATTGTTCATATATATTAACCATAAATCTGGCCAAAAGACTTCTTACAATGAATAATAACAAAATACTTGTAATAAATTAAGTATTAATTAAGCTCTTAGGATAAATTAACGAGGATAGTTGGGCAATAGGGGTTCAGTACTACAATATTAGAGCTAAAACAATAGCATAATAATCACTGAATGAAATTAGAAAGGAAAGCAAAATATATTTTATAGGTAAAGCATTGTAGTGATGGAATATAAAAATTGAAAAAATAATAATAACTGTTCTATTATATTAATATTTTATATTAATTCTTGGATATATTATTATTATTATTACAGAAGAGGACTGGAATGGACCCTAAACTAGTGAAGCTAGAACACGCCTTACCAGTCACCGTAAAGCAATTCGTAATCGAAACTACGACTGAACAGAAGCCCGGTCAGTATCAGTCTGATCTCTTCTAGAATTAAAGTCAATCATTAAATATAACATCATACGTGATGTGTCAATCCATTAGGCACTGAATTTGGACCTATGTAACTCTCGTACTTACAAATAATCAATTTAATTTGGATAAACTAGTCTTTGTTTCAGAATAAATAATTCATTATAACCAGGAAATTTATTTTGCAGTTGAGGAAAAGAAGGTGGAAAGTTTCAAATGGGAGGACTCTCTGAGGACACTGACAACGCTCATGAAGACTGGCCATCCGCCAGATCCAAAACCACCGCCGAAAAAGAAGAAAGTTTGGAAGTGGTTCGAGAAGCAAGGAGGTGGAAAGCAGATACAGCACAAGGGAGCGTTACCTCCCGTCGATTACTCCAGTGTCGGGTTAAAAAGTTTTGGTAAGCTGAGAGCCGATAAACAACGTTTACAATAATATAAAACAAAAAAGATTTCGAAATACAGAAATATTGCGAAATGACTAATAAATAGCTATTTATTGAAATCGGTATGTTGTTATTGTGTTCAGCTTTTGTGTCCCAGAGGTAGAGGTGCAGGTAGAACCAAGGTCGACCACGGAGCCTCTGAAAACAGACGATCGCGGAAAGTTCCTGTCCAAAAGCGTCAGGTTCAGGCGCAACGGTCTGACTTCTATGGCCGGATTGGACACCTTTCTGGAACAGCGGTTTGCGGATCCTTCCAGCATCGAATGGCTGGACCTATCTTACAACTCCATCTGTGAGATCGATCCGGTAATAACCTTTGTGAGGTTTTCGGATTCATAGATTGTATTGTGATACCACTTAACGAGTTGTTACGTCAATCATGTCCTTAATATGGCCCTCAGTTTCTTGCTTATTTCTCCTCCTCTGCAGGTGCTGTCAATGATGCCGAAGCTAAAGATGCTGTACCTCCACTCGAACTGCATCAACGATCTGGACGAAGTGAGGAAGCTGCGGTACTTTCCGAACCTTCGATCCCTGACCTTGTTCGGAAACCCTATTGAAGCCAGTATCGATTATAGGCTCAAGATAATGGCTGCAATCCCCACGCTCAAGAGGATCGACTGGACGGTGATTTCACCTCGAGAACGTGTATTGGTGAGTTTGGGTGTGCAAAAAGTATTTGGTAGAATAGTTACTAAAAAAAGCTCTACTCTCCCTCATTTAGTTGTTCTTTAGTACATTGGCAACCATTCTTAATCTATAATTTCCCTCCTAAATTCCCTTGGTTTTGTGCATAAAACTGATTGGACTTGGATTTATTATTCCTTAGAATATTTTTATAATGGTCATCATACTCTTCACATTTACCTCTAGGGAACACCGTTGCTACGCATCGTACTTCATGTAGACAAATAAAAAAGGTGTATATCATTTAATAAATGTAAAACAACCCATTGAGGAACAATTAATTTAAATCTTGAGGCAGTCCATTTTATAACATGAATTTAAAATATTAAATTTTTTATTAGTTACAATTTTTTATCTTTAACCAAAATCGTCAATTTTAACACTTAAATCTTTAATTATAGTCTTTCGTTTAAAAGTTTTTAATATTTCCATTTAATGTTAAAATTGTATTTTTCACATTATTATTGTTATCTACTAATTAAAATTCCTCTAATTATATATTAATTATCACTTTTAAAAATCCCTGTGAGATAATTAATATGTATTTCGAAATATATACTCTAAAACTATAACTCATTATCTTACCTCCATTCTTCCTAATTGAAATGTGTTTAATGTTAGTACTTTAGTAGATTGGGTTATCTAAAGTAGATATTACCTTTTTGTTTACATTTATCACATCTCAATTATTGGAATATTTATTCTGGTGGTGTCAAGACAATTCTATTCTATTCCCGGGATGCCTGAAGCCAACAGCCCAGCAACCTTAAACACCGAGCCAGCCAACAAAACCACGCCTAAAGAGAATAAATAAGTAGCGATCTGGTCAAGAATCTCGTGATGCATGTCGTTAGCCAGTAGTAAAGATTGAGCGCCATAATTCTTCTTCACTTCAAACCGATTTAGATATTGATCTTGATCCACCAACGGGGGTCGAGTCTTAATAGTTATAGTAACGGGTAATAGGAAGTGGTTACAAATAATTAATATATCAATGGATAGGTAATTTATAGTTGTATCGTATAATGCAATAATCGAATGGTATCGATGTTTTTAGGCTAGATTTTACGTCAATATGATGAAAGAGAAAGATCGGGAAGAAATGGAAGAACTTAAGCGTCAAGAAAAGGCTGCCGAAGATAGAAGAGAGAAAAAACGAAAAGCGGAGGAAAAGAGGAGAAGAAGAAGGGAAGAGCAAAAGGAAGCTGCTAAAGGCCCGAAACAGGAACCTGAACAGAAAGATGTGGTAGAATTAGATTTCGAACCGATAAAAAAGAAAGAAGTAATCGAGAAAGAGGATTCATTAGAACTGGTTGAAGAAGAGCTTACTGAAGAGGAGACAACGGAGGAGGAAGTGACGGAAGAATCCGAACTTAAAGAAGACATAATACCAATCTCTTTGGCTGACCCTGGTCCTCTGGATGTGAAGGGCAAATACAAACTCCATCCGGATCCTCTTAGCACTGTTTCATTGTTTAAGGAAGTCGAGAAATATCCGTCGGATACATCGCTATTCTCGACGGAGACCGTCACCCTCGAACAGATCGAGAACGAGTTCAATGTTCTCAAAGAAATGGAGGCCAATGCAGATCACAACTGGGGATCCACTATTCATCTTTAATGATTTCTAACTGCAATAAATGTATAATGTTATAAATATTTCTTTGCTTCAATTAATTATTTAGAGTACAATTTAACACAATTTACAACTAGAAAACATAGTTCAGTTACTTTTGGGCATCTAATATTCTTTAAGTACCTTTGAAACTACTATGAAACTACTTTAGTACTTTACTACTTACATGAAACTGCATTAGTAGCTTTGAAACTACTATGGTTATATTCTTCGTACTTGATTATTTTTAATTTTTTTTTTAATTATAATTTGCCTTAAGAATATGGGATCAACTATTTAAAAAACTCCGGATTCTTGCCAATGAAGCCTACAGAGCTAACAAAAAATTCAACATTTTGTATGTTTTTTTTCTACCCTTATTCTACTTCTACGTGTTTACGTACATTCTTCAGGATAACGATTTTTATTCAATACATCTATAATTACATGTATGCACTTCCAGCTCTTTCTGGAGCCGATTATTTTTTATTTAATGCGATAAACAAAGGTGTTATCGAGCCATCAATTAATTAAAATTTGTTGTTTTTGGTCATTTTTAGCAGACAATCAATGAATTTCTCCAATGTTCTTCTTACAAAGATATCAGGAAGTGAAAAATGGAAGATAGCTAACAGCTTGGCCCTTTACCTTTAGCCCCTTAATCTTGTCTTGAAAAAGAGGTCTAAGTAACATCGAATGGGGGTAGGCTTTTTTTTCTTGTATGGGATGTGACCGAAATGCAAAATCCAAGTTATCGACCACGGCGCTCCCCCGGATCACTTTTGAAAATCCCCAAAACTGCTATATTTTCGGTTTTTCCCCATTTTGACCATGAAGGAGCACGTATACAGTTATAAACTAGATTAAATATACTACAATTTAAGGCCAAAACAAATTCGGTGAGTTTGATAATTTTTGAGACACAGGTTTAGTCAAGCTATTTTTCCTATTTGATCATATGCACTTGTCTCTATATCTTCAATAACTTGTCTAATATGATTCAGTGCACTAGCGGATCCAGGATTTAATTTTGAGGGGGGGGCCTCAGCCCGAAAGATTTTTTTTTCATATATATATATATATATATATATATATATATATATATATATATATATAACGATAATTAATTTGAAAAAAAAGGAAAGAAATTAACTACCTATATGAAACAGTGTTTAAGTGGTTCTTTAAGTCTTATTAAATATAATTACACGAACAAGATTACGTTAAGAGATAGTATTTAATATTTTTTTGTGTAAAACATGGTTGTATTTTACCATTTTTGGGGGGAGGGCTTCAGCCCAAAAGCCCTCCTTTCCCCCCGTAGATCCGCTTGTGAATGGTCCTATCGATTTTAAAAGGTATTTGCAAGCTGTAAATGACTAGTAAATTATATTTTTCATAGTTTACAATATAGAATTTCATGATTTTCATCAACCTTCATCAAGGTCCCTAGTTTATTTTAGAAAAGCATGAGGACCAGATGCTGTTTGGATGCTGTCGTAAGCAACGAGCTCTCTTCAGTGAATATTATCTTGAAGGTCTACGGTGCGTGTCCTCGACTTTATCACAATCGGAAGTGCAATATTTCTCAACCAAGCAGATGAAGTAAGGTTTTACATGGTCGAATGGAGTGTCAGCGTACGCAGAAACGCACGTATATCTCTGCATAAACCATTATCCAAAGCAATGGCAATGCTTGGGATGATTTCGTTTTCAGTATTGTGTAAAGGTAGTAACAATCAAAAAGGCTGCTATCAGGAATAAGCAACCTCAGAATGAAGTGTTTTTTCATAAAAATATTTTCTATTTACTTCATTTTGATTTCTCACTACCAAAGATAGGAATGCTTTGTATTCGTGCGAGAGTTTAGCGAGAGGTGAAAAAAATAAAATATTGAGCCAAAAATTTCCACTCGCATTTTAGCCGATCTTATCATCTTTTCCAGTGGTAAGTCGCCCTACCTCGGCTGGTATCTATAATCCTGTCGCAACTCCATATTCCATCAGTTGGAACTTTGAAGACTTTCACATATATCATAACCTCTATATATCATATCAATATATATCATAACCTCACATTTAAGATGATTTGTACACTCCTTCATGAATTTCACCTATTCCTGTGGAACTTCCAGTTCATGATCTTCCAAAGGTAATTATACTACCTTGTAATCGATGGATGATAAAATAGGCGAGCCACCTAAAACACCATTAAGAACATGTCAAGTTAATCTTCACTGAGTATTTAACTATGAATTAATATTTTTTTCTGAAATAGGTGTCGCTGAAAGGGGCTCAACAAACATTAAGATTAATCCATTCCCCACATATCTTTGTTTATTAACGTTTAAATCATATTTGACTTTGCTATAGTTGTGTCGGTTTAAATTGAATTATTTTTTTATTTTTGGTAGATTTGAAAAATCGTGACTCTTCTGAAGTGTTTCAATATAAGAAGATTAATTATTTTTTTATAATAATTGATAACAGACCCATAGCCATCCCTGACGTTTTAAATATTTAGATACGTGGTCAAATTGGTTGTAAACAATTTTCTGTTGATCGAAATAGCGTAATATGATTTTTCATTTATTTTTTAATTGCTGTCATCTAAAATTATATTTAATCTTATTTTATTTAAGCTCTACAGAATGCCGTGGGCCTTGACTTACTTTACCATTCTCCTCAAGTCATCTCGGAAAATTACCTTCTGTTCCCAATGATTGGTTCTTTTTAGATCCTTCTTCGCGTTTCCAGCTTATTTAATGAATAAAAAAATAATATTTTTTTTTTTTACTTCTTATTATCTTATGTTAATAAAGACTGCAACGTTACACCGCATCCTTTCACTCTATTAATATGAAATGACAGAAATAAATAGGTAAATGTAGTAAAACTCCAAAAAGCAAATAAATATTAATTATTAGATTATCATTGGGGGAATACAATTTAAAAGCCTTTTAAGATAGTAGTTTAAATAAAAAATTCTTTCTCACACGACTTGGGGAGCAGATAGAAAAAGCCTATTGAATATATACTATGCAAGAATCAGAAACAAACTAGACTACGGCAAAAGCGTTTACGGCTCTGCTTCAAGTAAAACTTTAAGAATGTTGGATGTGGTACACAACTCTGCATTAAGAATTTGTACTGGGGCATTGTCAACCTCACCTGTGGAAAGTCTATATGCAGAAGCTGGGACTAGCGAATCGAGGATTTAATTTTGGGGGGGGCCGAAACCTTTTTTTTTCATAAAAATAACGATAATTACTTTGGAAAAACAGGCAGAAACTAACTATCTATATGAAATTGTGTTTAAGTTATTCCTTAAGTACTTTTAAATGTAATTACACGAAAAATAATACTTTAAGAGGTATTTTTTAAATTTTATTTCCCATAAAACATGGTTACATTTTTCCATTTTGGGGGGGGGAGGCTTCAGCCCGAAAGCCCCCCTCGTAGATCCGCCCGTGGAAGCTGGTGAACCTCCTCTAACCTTCAGAAGGTTATTCATGACAACGAAGTATGGTCTTAAATCAAGATTGACCCAAGACACATACTAAATAAGGTATTATTCTGTAATGAGGAAAGAGGTAACATCAGGAAGAAAAACTTTATTGAAACTCTTCTTGATCATTTTTCGGACCTAAACATTGAAAATGCTCTGGATGTGCCGAATATAACAATTCCCCGATGGACCAATGCCAAACCAACTATAGATACCTCGATAGGTAGACATAAAAAGGATATGGCACATCCAGTTGAAGTTCAAAAACTATTTTTAGAAACTTTGGAAAAATATAAGAAGTGTCACATCTTGTATACGGATGCCTCAAAAGTAGATAAGGAAGAAGGATGTTCCGTTATACGTTGTAATACTCAAAAACTATTCAAAATTCCGGAGGCTTGTTCAGTGTTTACTTGTGAAATGCTAGCAATTTGAGAAGCTCTTAAATACATAGAGACAAGTGAAACTACCAATTGGGCAGTGGTAACAGACTCTGAGTTGATTACTAGACATTGAACAAACCACTCTCGCAAAAGATGTAAGAAACGTTTGGGGACTAGGGATTAGGGATAAAGGCAAGGAAGTAGTGTTAATTTTGGTCCCTTCGCATTGCGGGATCATCGTTAATGAACTAGCCAATCAAGCAGCCAACATGGCAAGAAACCCAGATACAACATCAGTGAAATCAATTAATGAAATCCCTCTAGAGGATTACATTAAAAAAATTAAGGCGAATGTGTGGAACATGTGGCAAAACAAGTGGGAACAAAAAGAATCGAAAATAAAAAAAATTAAACCCCACTGTTTAAAATGGGAAACCTCTCACCGACCGTCTCGAAAGGAGACAGCCCTTTGCAGACTGCGAACTGGACATAGTGAGTTCTCGCATTCCCACCTACTAAGAGGACTTGATCCTCCGACCTGCGAGAGCTGCAATGGCAAAAGGACAGTAAAGCATATTATTCAAGACTGCCATTCATTTGAACCTACAAGGAAAAAGTTAGACATGGCACAGAGTCTAAAAGAAAATCTACAAGACAGTGAAAGTGCAGTCAAAAAAACTTTAAGGTTTTTAAAACAGATAAAACTCTACAACAGAGTGCAATTTAAAGGCGTTGCCAATGACAAAACATCAAATAAATAAATAAAAAAAATAATGTCAGCGTTTTAACATCGTCAGATCAAATTCTGTAATTTATATCACAATCTGGATAAATTTATCCATTTTTAGTCGAGATAACTCATTCATTATTTTTTTCCAATCTCCCAATGTGAATAATCTACTATGAAGTATATTACGTAGGAGCTTCAGTTTTTTTCTTAAATAACGTTTCGTTTTAAAGCTATTTTGAGTTTGCGTTTTCATGCAGTCTTCAATTGCAAGTATTTTAAAAGGCGTCGGGGCGTTTGTTCTGTCATAAATACTGTTTCATAAGTTGCACTTTGATTACACCCTCGGGTATTATTTAGATAATACTTACCTCTATCAGGTTATTTTC